TTTTAGCACTATAATACTTTTGTTATAACTTGTGGCCTGAATGCTCTGTTAATGGATAAGTAATGATAACGCCAATTAGAGAGCAGTGACTTATCGATCGAATCAATGACGCGTAAGCCCAGAGTCCTGTTTTCCACCTAGCCCAGCCAGTCAAGTTCAGAACACCAATCTGAGCCTTTGCGAAATGAATCATGTATTTTAAACATACTCGGTTTTTATACCAATCAAATAGACCACAACGTACTATAAAATAGAAAATAACATTTGTACAAGATTTGGCCAAATGAGGCTGTGAATATGGTAGACAGTGACTAATAAACAGGGCGTAATTCAAGAATGGTAAAACGTATAATAATGGTTCATAGGTTAAAGTAAAGCTTATAATAAGAGGAATATGAATATGAATAGTTTATTTAATTAACAATTATACGATAAATATACACGTTTAGTATTGGTCCATAAATGGATTCCAAAGTTACCATTCATTATGCTCATCGGGACCTAGCACACCTCCCTTTTGTTGAAGATTCGGAGTTGATATCCAGATTTTAAATTCCCCGAGTTTTGGACTTGACTGGCTGGGCTAGGCGGAACGCAGGACCAATCAGGACTCTAGGCTGCTGGTACGGGTTTACGCGTCATTGGTCCGATCGATAAGTCACTGCTCCCCAATTGGCGGTATCATTACTTATCCATTAACAGGGCACTCAGGCCACAAGTTATAACGATTAGCGACGGGGATGGGATTTGAACCCACGCGGGGAAACCCCAATGGACTAGCAACTTTGAAGTTCAGTTTGATAATATAAATGAATACATTTTCGAATAGATCATCCTATACACCAAATATTATTTACTTTATATAAATTAGTCATAATAGTGAATATAGAGAGAAATCTTAAAAAGACATTGTTCTTAGTAACCAACAGAATATGCTACTCATAACATTTGTATGGAATTTGAACAATAGAAAAAATCAGATTTGAAATAAATTTACTCAGATAAACAGAAATTATCCTTAGTCAGTAGGATATGAATCTGTTAAAACTATTTACAGAACTGAAAAAAAGTTAAAATCATTAATTTTTAGTCAAAGTAAGTAGTATTGCATTCATCATGATTTTATGTTTCATTATGAATGTACGCTTCTGAAAAGTTGTAAACTAGAGTAGAACAATTATCTAGTACTTTCTATTTCCAAATATTTCTTCAACTCATATTAATTTTCATTGTTGAGATCATGAGTCAATTAAACCTAGGCCACCATTGAAAACCTGAAAGCACTGGATGGCCGTTTCGTCCTACTATGAGATTCCTCAGCAGTGGGAATCCACGACCCCACCTCGGGAGATTCGAACCCAGGACCTGTCAGTATCGAACGCGAACGCTTAACCAATAGACCACTGAACTGGCATTCAACGGTGTTAATGTCTAAATCCAACTAATCCACGAAATTAAGCGACACATCTATTAGTTTGTGAAAAAAACTTCTATTTAACCATATAAAATCCTTACGTAATATCATTCAAAACAAATAAAGTCAGAAACCGTAAAAATGAATATGGATATTTAATAAAGTATGATTTAATATTGAATAGATACACGAAAATGATAATTTAGAATTCAGGTGAATAAATAAATAAAAAATTTTAAGACAATATTGCATGTTATGAAAATTTCTATTGTCAAATTAACAAAGTTTTGTGTAACTATTAATCATTTAAAATTATAAATTAACATAACATTTTTATTTATTTAAATCTACAAAATAAAATTTAATGGGATAAGTTGAAAAATTTTTAATAGCTTGGATATACAGACATTTATAACAAATTGTAACAATAATCAATAGAAAGAAATGATCAGTTAATAATAAGTCTGCCAAGGAAGTCCTACTCATTGCCTTCTCGTGATAGGGGTGTTGTTTACGGAATTGAGATGACGAAAAGCGAATGTCCGGCGCTTTAACCGGGTTGGTGGATACGGAGGATCCACCTAAGGGGTTTGAAAAACCATGATTCCAAACCAATAGTGTGCATGTGCTCCAGAATCCTAAGGAAACAAATGGCGTATGAACCAATTGTTGGTCACCGACTACCATGGGACTGTATCTACTGACGTTGCTCCACTACTTTGTGGATCAGACCTTTATGTCAAAGGCTCTGGGTGTGGCCCGCTAAGAAAACCACCTGCTTCAGTTTGAGCACCTGGGCGCATATCTCTTTGGTGCCTCCTTGTACCAATGTTTATGTGTTTAAATAAATAAATAGTTAAGCTTTTAAATTAGTAAGAGTACAGTAGTAGTATTAAATATTTTATACGTAGGTACTAAATGATACATAAAAGCTTGAAGATAACAAAGGGTTGTACCAACATGAGATCATAATCCCAAATTCAATTTTACTACAATGATATAACTGTTCTATTGCATTAAGTAAATAGTCAATATTTAAACACAATGATCCAACTTGTTTTGTATGATGCGTTCAAGGAACGATGGTCATTGCATAAATCAAGTTTAAGAATTCTTGAATGGTTCGGTAATAATATAACGAATGGTAGATGGTTTGCAATGAAAGAATTATGAAATATTGGATTTCATAGGATTAAAATATCACTTTTAATTAGGATAGAATTCTATAGAAAAAAGTACGTTTTACTCTTCCAGGTGGTGGTTATAAATTTAATGATTATCTGCAACTGTTAAAAAACGTACACCTTAACTAATGTTACACAACAAACAATGACGAAGTTCACTGAAATGTAGACTGTATTAGACAAATGTATAACGCTAAAAAATCAATGTAATCACAAACCACAATGGTTGGGATGTCATGGTGCAACATTCATTTGACCGTCAATGATAGGGGAGAAAAGAGGAAAACTAACCAGATATGTTGAGATTTTTGTCTAGCTGATTAAAATTATCCCTAGTTGGTTAAATTATATACTCAGCCATTTTTGGTTGCATGCTAAATTAAGAACTATATAGTTTATCAAACGAGATATTACTAGTAACTTCAACCTCTCATATTTCCTTTACTTATCACTATGGTGAAGAATGGCATCAAGGCAAACTTTTTCCAATGTTCAAATTCTTCCTACCCTAACCTATATATTAACAAATGATGGAGTGTAACAGTTCATAGCAAAAGTTAATAACAGCACTTAATATTCACATGGTGTAAATCTTCAGTTATGAATAACTGTGGGATTATTTACGTGGAGTGTGAAGCTACTGAACATAAAACATGCTTTGCAAATCGAGAAATTTTTAACTGTTGCTAATGTACAATCCGGTTGAAATATAGGATTATGGTTCATAATTGAAATAACCTTTGTCTCAAAAGTGACAAGAACTCCGAAATGATTAGTTTTAGTCAACTACCCATCTATATTAAACTTTCAACAACCTCTATCAGATTGACAGGTGCAAGAAAATTTACTACGTAATGTACCTAATATTAGGTGAACAGTAGGGAAAAAAAGTTGTAACAAAATATGGCCAAACGAAACAGAAATTCGGGTGCCATCAACCAATAGGAACGCTTGAAAGATTGACAAGAAAAGCGATAAGAGGACTGAAAATAGTTAGTGCTTTCACTTTAGAAATTACTAAAAAATAAGTCACCAGGGGAACCTCACTAAATGAACTTCCGATTACGGACTAGATAGGACGGCAATAGATACCCGTTAACATTACAATTTTGTCAGAAAGTGAGCACACTGGGTTTCCTAGTCATCCTAGAAGATGAAAAGTGGGTCAGATCAATGAATCGATTAAAGTTAAAGGTTTAATTTGACGTCTAAGAATAAGTGGCTATCTCAATTCTTCGACAAATAAATGTAACTTTTTTAAAGAAAGCTTCTAACCAGAAGTCGAGATTCCGAAATTCTTTAATTTCTCAGAAACCTTTGCACTAACAGCCACATGAAATACAACAGTTCGATTAAAAGTAGTAAGTTAGGGGAAACGATTTTCCACGGGGTGACCCAATTGCCCTAGCCTAAAATGGGAAATTAATGTGAACCAAGTGGACGAAGTAATAAAAATAATCTGAATTTTGACGCGAGATGTTCTGAATATACTAAAAGCGCTTAGCCAGATAGGAAACCATAAGCACGAAACTCTAGTTAGTTTATGCATACTCTGTTTACCGGTATTACTTATAAGATAGGTACTTATAAACAACTTTAAGAGCCTGTCGGGCTATATAAATACTAGATAATTTCACTTGGTTTGAAGTTAACCAAAATGAATAGATTTTCTTGAGTATGGAAACTGGCTTAAGACGAGTAAAATTGCAGGTCATAACTACACAATTTGGTATATTTTTTTCCGGAGTATTTCTCACCAATTTCCTTGCCTTACTTACTATTAGTGAGTAGTAAGACAAGCCACTCGTTATTTTAAGACATTACAGGACAACAATGGTTTGCTTATGTTCACCAGAAAAAGTAATTTTCATGCCCCTCATTACATTAACTTACGACCAAGGTACCCCCCAAGAACTCTTATTGAGAAGAAAAAGCATTATGGATAAAACTTGAGATAGTATGTATCGAATAGATATCTCATCCGATACACAAAAAGACGACAACAAAATCGCGGATGACATGTTATGTTAGATAAAGATATATATTTTAAAAATAAATAGAAAATGGACCACATAAGGGAACTAAAATGAATCATTTCAACTCAATATACATATAGATATTTATATTTTATATCGATGACAAACAAACGTAAAGTGTACGACAAGTGAATGAAAATTAAAAATACATAAAGCGTATCCAGGGCCAATAATAATAGTCGTGAAAATATTAAATGTCAATGTGAAACAATGAAGAATACACAGACCAACTGTTTCTGGAAAATGTAATGATAACTATATTTTGTATGTATGTAGAAGGAGGAACATATATAAGTATCCGCTTTGTTTTAAATCTTAATTTAAAAGGAAAAATAAATGTGATTCTCGCACGGATGCACAGAACAGTTATTATTATTATTATTATTATTATTATTATTATTATTATTATTATTATTATTATTATTATTATTATTATTATATGATCGGATATAATTATCATATAAGGAAAAGAAACAACCAAATAATGATAATAATAATTTAATTATTTAAAGAATAATTTCTCGATTAAATGCATCGGTATTCTTTGTTGATTAATTAAATAATTAATAAGTTAATTTAGAATGAAATGCACATTCACAAAAACAATTATTTACATAGATTTTTACAAGTATATAATGTATATATGATGGGAATGATTCAGAGTTAGCAATGACATTTAGTCACACATATATTATGAAGCAACTAGTAATCTGTCTCTTTTATCTTAATTCTAGATATCACTGGTGGTAATTTAAGAGGAAGATTCTGGACTACGATAAATATCACAGAAAATGATTGTGCAATCAAGCAAGCTAATAATATAAGTTATATTGATTGAAATTTAACTCCTGGTGTTTCGCATGTTCAACAACATAATCCAGTTAATTTGACCAGATTAATTGATAAATTTCCAAAATCGTATATCTCTATCACTAAAATAAAGAAAAGCAAAAAAGGACAAATTAATATGAACGCATGTAAAAAGTGACAAAAAGGACAGATAATCAATCATTATAAATTAAACGAGAAACTTACTTGCCAGCAGTGAATACACGATCTTTATATGTTCTCACACAATTAATAGCGCCATCGTGTGCATTGTTAATCTCTCCTAAGCAAGTACAATCTTCTACTTTCCAAAGCTTAAGTGTACCACCACGACAACCACTAATAAGATTTGTCCCATCGTGTGTAATACCCATACCCTGAAAAAAGGAAGTCAAAACTAAGAAATTAGTTAAAAGAAACTATTTCAAACATTTTAGGCTGATCCAATAGAGACTACTATAAACTAATTATCAATTGGAAGACTAAATTAGCACTGCTAAGTTATTCGAAATCCTTCGACACAACACACAATTAAGTAGAACTAGCTAAGTAAAATGAATTGAATAGAATTATATGGAAATAATCGAAAAAACTTTCGTCAGAAGAAACAAAACAAAACTCTTACCTGTATCCAATCTTTATGAGCTTGTGCAAGTAATACTTCTTGGCGACCATTTTTTTCTAAATTCCACTTTTTAATTGCAGCATCTCTTGAACCAGAAAATAAAATATTCCCATGGATAACTAGAGATTCTATTCCATCATAATGTGGTGGTTCCAAATCAAGAGTAGGTGTAAGTAAACCAGATGTCGTTGAAGAAACATCAAACACTTTTATGTAATGATCCTGAAATTGAGCATAAATCAAACAGTCAGCATTTACTTAAAACAGTTATAAAAGCCAGAAAAACAAAACAAAAAAATGTTCGCTTGCCAAATGTTAAACCTTTAAGGTAAATTTCTTCACCAAAATTTAAGAATGGTCGGTGAATCTCTTTCATTTGAGAAGTTGAGATTAGCTTAAATAAACCAATCAAGAAGAAATTTTTGACAAAAATACAGACAGTTTTTTGAAAACCATCCAGGTATTTCAGTTGTGATGTCGATAATATACATCAGATTATCAGTGAATATAACCAGAATAAATTATAGACCGCTGAATACGAAACATAACCGTTGAATATGTAGAAAAATCAGTTGCTAGATGTATAATCGAGTTATTAGACACGTGTTGCGGGAACACTGAACAATCGGGGTTGAGGTCAATATCAAAGTTCTGGGCAAGAAGGCCAAATCGATTGGTAAAGTTGTGAATATCTGTCGATTGAAGTGGCTTAAATTAAGTAACACCTGTTTCTAGTTACAGTTTAAAATTCAGTACTGATCGGATTAGGATTACGTTGTAGGAAATTAAATGATGAATCAAATCAACTATAAGGTTTTCCAGAGCTAGTATGGAGTTTTCAAAGCTGTTTTTACAACCCAAAAAAACAGTGCTTATAGATCTAACAGAAGGATTTATTTATTTGAACACATAAATATTGGTACAAGGGGGCACCAAATATATATGCGCCACACAAAACAATGATAATTTGAAGAGAAGGAGAAAAAAAGTAATGAACGTGGGGAATTATAAAAAAAGAGGGAGAGAGAGAACAATAATGGGGGAAAAGGAAAGGTACAATCAGAAGAAATCTTTCAGTTAAGGAAGAGGCAACCACTTTTTATGAAGAAAGTAAAAGAAGGTTACAGCAGGATCGCCATTGGCTTCTATTCTGAGCCATATCTGATAACGTCTCTAGCCACTGTGTTACACCGTCTCTCGGACCCCAGCCAGGGAGTCGTGAAGGACCAACAGAAGCTAGCCCTTTGCAGCTTTCTTTCATACCACGACACCATGTCAGTAACGGAAGGATAGGTACAGACTTGATTGCAATGGCTCATATGTGTTGACAGTTTTCATAATCTTTAAGATATTACTTTTTGGTGTTGTGCTTTCTCTGAACAGGATGGTCCAATCAATCAAACTATTCTCCATTTGTGGGGACATCTCATTCACGTGATATTGTGGTGTGCAACTTGAACTAAATATATTCCCTCATAGCTTGATGATAGAGTAACGTCAAATAAAAACTACATATGAAATCAAACCCAAAGGCAAAAACATACAACTCACTTTTGAACCAGTAACTACGGTTAATCTAGGTTCCGAATCAGCGGTTGGAGAATTACACGGAGTTTGGGCAGCAGCCAATACCATTACAGGGGCCTGATGACTACCGTGTAGTTTTCCTACACAATAAAATCGTCTTAAATCCCACAATTTTACAGAATTAGCAGTAGCTGAAAACATTAGGTGATTTAATGATGGATTAGATCCGCCAAGGGTAATATCCATAATGTTTGTTTCGCCAGGTGGACAAATATTTTGACGACGCATAACCTTCGTTTCTAAAGAACCTTCCTGACTGAGGCCACTCGATCTTTAAAAAAATCACAAAGGATATATTATTTATCATGGATAAACAGTTGATTATAGTCATTTTGTAAGAAAATAAACTATAGTCATGGTAAAATAAAAAGACTGAATGACACATTACTGAATACAAGTTGGAGATAATATTTTGTTGTCTAAGCTTAATTACACGGGGCTCCAACTCAATGGCTAAAAGGTGAATGCCCCGAAAACTACATATACCCAAATATTTAATCATACATCATTCTCATAAAAGCAGAACTCTCTTTTATCCATTTCAACAATCAGCATAATTTTGTTTGCTAACATCACCATATCATGAAAATGAATCCATTGTTGCATAAATAATTTGATAATGCAGTCGTTACGACTCATTTATTATCTGAGTGTTTAGTTTGCAAATGATTACTGTTTTAAATTCTGTATATAAATGAGAAACATACCATAAATACATTTTGAAAAACATTGTCATGCACTTCATTACTAGAAAAAGAACAACAACTGTGATTTTTAAAACAAACTAACAAATAAATGAATGTTTCATTCACAATGAAACAAAATGTTGAAATACAACATAGACAGATAAATGGCAGTAATATAGAAATAAATCAATTTTGTTCAAGAGATGAAATAACATGTACACGTCCAATACTGCCAGAAGCATGATAGTAATTCTATTTTCACTAAGAGAGAAAAAAATTATTACGAGTCGAATATCACAAGAAATATGTCTGGATATTCTGAAGACAGATAATAATTTAAAGAAATTTAAAGTATGTTTCAACAAAAACCGATACGCTTTTATCTGATAAGTGCTATATTACGATTAGTACACCAACAACAGACGTTTTCAATAATAGTACTGTAATTTGAGATTAGTAAATTGTACTAGATACGCACACTTAATGCAAATGAAAGAATGAACAAGAAAGAAAGTGGAACAAACTATGTTAGTACTTTCTAGCTTTGTAAGAGATTACATTCGAGTTGACTTCTTCACTGTTTACATAATACTTTGGTTTTACTGATACTTCATTGACATGTTTTTTTACTAAAAAATCTTGGTAAATACAAATAAAGTCAATTGTGAGTCGCACTTACAGTATCATAAATAATGTATAGTGACTTTTATACAGTTCGGAATGCAACACTAATATAATATACTACGTCAATTTCTTTCGTTGGCGTGTGCTTATTTATTTAAATGCGAATAATATACTTCATGGAATGAAGTGTATTCTTAATTTACTAATGAATTGGCTGAAATTTAATGTTCACAAATATTAAGAACTATATTAAGAGAAATAAAAACATTTAATTTTAATATTACGGTACTTTGGTAATAAAAAATAAAGAAGTATCGGTCCTAGATTCTGTGAATGGAAATAGAATAAATCAACTAGATACCAATGTGCGGTTTGATAATTTATTTTCACAAACAGATTTTGTCCCGGCCAAATTTGAGGAATTTGATAGATTTGAGATCACACTGGTTGTCATCTCCAAAAAATGGTAAATATACCAAATGACATCGAAATGTTTTACATAAACTTACAGAAGATAACACTCCGATCATAAGCAAACCAAACAAATAAGAGGGGCTAACTTTACTGAACAAAACAGATTACATTGATAAAATGCAGTCAATGTGGAATGATCCGACTAAATTTCAAAAACTCACTGATGTTAAGAATAAAGAAGTGAAAACAGAGAATCTACTCATTAATTTGCTTAAAGAATTAAAATAGTAAGAGGATAATTACTCCAGCCGTTCATGATTCAATTTCTAAATTAGTTAATTATTGACCGAGATATTTATCTTGAATATTTATTTTGAATTAAAACAAGTATGTCATTAACATTTCATTTAGTGATTTGATCTTAACTGAATGAAGTCAATGTTTATAGTATACATCTAAAAGAAAAATGGCTTAATTTAGGTATACACACATATTACCTTCAAACCAAAGAGTAAATTACAACTTACAATAGGGTACGAATACATCGGCGTACATCACGACGATCCCAAACTTTAATGAAGTAAGAACAAACAGTAAAAATCAAATTTGATGATGAACACATTTTAACTTTAGTCACATTATTCGGATGATCATGCAATGTGTCCACTTCTTCCATAGTAGCTAAATCCCAAATTTTTGCAGTACGATCTAAGAAAGAATAATATTGGAATGCACAATTATAATGTTAGATAACAATAAAACACATTTCCCTAAGTTCCCTGACGTAGATTTAGGACAGTAAGAGAGCTGGAGACAATATTCAGTTACTTAAACAACAGCAGGTAGGAAAGTCCTTGATGAGGGAGGGATCAAACTAAAATATGAGATCAATTCATGACGTCATTAACTGTTGGATTAAGCCGTGGAGGTTGGTCCAAACCATTTGTTTAAGGTCCGTGCGATAACCACGATCAGTAAACGAGAATACTAGATGACGACCATCAGAATCATATGTAGTGGCCTAGATCTTAAGTTTGAATATTTTCGAATCTCATTCTCCAAGTTTAGTCCCTAATTATTATTATAAATCATACTACTGTTACTTCGACTCTATGGCTAATCGTTTTGTTGTGAAGATGTAGTGTGACAAGGTGGGCTCCAGATTCCAAACTGACAAATATGTCAAGCTTTATATACATAGATCCCGGTCAAGAAATACTTACATATTGTTTAAGAAAATAGTATGACGAAATCACTAAAATATACAAACATTGATTTAAGGGAGGTGGGTATAAAACATAATTACTAATATATTTAGAACAGAAACACATAAATCTAAATAATTATTGATTAAATAGTTTTACACGGAACTTAGCAATATTCAAGCATGGGAAATGAATTACCTTTACTACCAGTTATCATAACTTCACGAATTACGTCGATATCGAGAACGGCGTTTGAATGACCTTTAGCTATGTGAGTACATTCAATTGGTGGAGCGAAACCAACAGACTGATGAACTATAGATGGACCTGTAGTATTCACATTAGCAGAAATATGACAAGAAGTACCATTAGATGTATGCATTAATTGAGAAGTAGAACATGAGGTGAAAAATGCAGCCAAAGGTTGATTCAAAGAGTTTTCAGATGAACTATTAATTGGAACGGTTAAAGTGGTCGAACAGTGACCAGCTGATGAAGGTGCTAAGTGATAAGATTGATTGGACGCAGTAGAACTTGAAATCGGATTCATGTTGGTGCCGCTGGATACCAAACTTGGATTTATTTTAGACAAAGGTTGTATAGAACCTCTGAAAAGTCAGAAAAAAGTAGCTTTTATCAGTAGAAATAAAGCCAATTTTTATATTAAGAGCAGTAAAGTTCATTTTATTTAGAGATTCCTATGACTAAATAGTTTTTATTTGAACGTATAATGTTTAAACAAAAATTATTTTGGGTGTATTTTCGCTTACAAAGTGTTATTAAATAAAGTTAAGAGCAAACAATTGATTAGAAAGAGATAACTCGAAAATGAAAGTTCTAATAACTGCAAACAACGTAGATTAATGATATCAGTTGAGTATTTTGATGGTTAAAAGTTATATTCGCCCTTGGATATTAACCTTAGGAAAAGTTTTGTAAATATTTATTTACCTATCAATAAAACAAATTTTGATAAAACACAACAATAAAAAAAGCACCACACAAACGAAATGAGAAAAAGTCATACAGTATAAAATAAACAAATGAAGGGGAATAACAGTTGATAAAATCAAACAATAAAAATCACAAAAATTTGGAATCTGTTTAAAGAGCTGTATTTTCTCTTTATGTCTACTTATCACAGATAGGTTGATTTTTGGGAACTTCGATAAATATTACATTTCTGTACAGAAATTTGTATATAATACGTGTTAGCGGGATATAGATCGAACTAAAGAATGTTCCGTACAGGAATGTGTTGGGGCACACTGATTGCCTATTTCGTAACCAATCAGAGCTAGTGGATACTTGGAGAAGAATTTGGAACCTTCTTATGTAAAAATTATAAATATACAAACGTTTTTTTTTATTGTGACTCCTACTTCCATCTACCCTTGCTAATTGGAATATAATTACGTTATTGTTCAACCGTGTTCTGATTTGGAGACTTGTCAAGTGAAGTAGTATTTAAGAATACTAAGCAGTATGAATAGCTGGGTCTTAATAAGAGAATTTATAACAGTACTCAAAAACATAAATATTTACTCAAAGTAAAAATAACAGTCACTATACTACAGTACCATTCAGACTTACACATACTAATTATAGCAAATATTAGAAAAGAACTGTGCATTAAATAGTTGGTAGGTGTTAAGAAATTTAGTCAAACAATCATGTATTTAGATAAATCCTGATGAAATTAGTCGAGACAACACATTTAAGTTGTTATAACTAGCTTGTTTACCTTTTTATTAGTAATCTCGTAATCTAGCACAAACATTACATAATAGTACAGAAAGTTTAAGAGAAAATGAAATTAATATTGTTATAAAAAGGGAAACAAACAAACACAATGTTCTATCATTAATATATTTAAAAGCAACTACTGTTACTAGCAAACAAATATTCAAAGTCAATATTAGTTTCTATGTGATTTTTGTTTGCAGATTTCTATAGTAATTTTGATTTATATATGATATTTTACTTAACCAACAAATAAACATATGTATATCAAGAAATGGACATTTTTGTTATTTTGGCATAAATTTTACTTTGTATTACAGTTGCACAAAAGACAATATTAGATCTCGATAGTAGTCTGTGCAAAGAATATGGGGGGGGGGTCGTGACCATAAAAGTTATTTAACAAAATTTAAGACACATTAATCTCATCAACCTTGAAAATACCCTCAATTTATGGCAAAATACTTGTCCTTTTTGTGTATATAGAGAATTTTGTAGAAATCAGTTTCTTAGCATGTATCCAGAAAGAGAATTGACGATTGGGAAATACTAATAAGCAGGACACGTTCAATGTTTTAATTTTTATTGACACATGAGTTTGACGGTCGTTCTGGAACTTGCATTATATCACACATTTCATGACCCTTATATATCCTAGTCAGTAATTTATTTAGTAGTTAACTAAATTGGACTAATTTAGTAGTTAAATAAATCACATAACTAAACAGAATAACTATTATAAAATGATATCTTTAAATGAACATAGAATAAAACAAAGGTAAGAAAATCGAAATAAAACAATAGCTGAAGATAATTAATATTAAATAATACATTTTATAAACAATAGTCACCTGCTTGGATTTGGTGAATTTGACATTCCACTAGTTAGTCGATTAAATACATCATTGACTGTATTAGAAGAACCTACTGAAATTACTTTATAATTTGGTGGACTGATCGGATCATTAGTTTCAGTTGACATGCTATAGTGAATGAAAATAGAAATTCAAAGTGAAACTGTGTATGATATCATTAGTTTTAATAAATGATTTGTAATTTACAATAATTTCAAATCAATAGTAAATTATTATTTTAAAAAATAAGACAATTTGTGTTATATCTCGACGAGAACAATGAATGGTAACTGTTGGAATCTATTTCTGAACTAATACTTTACATATATTTTTATTGTATTAATTGCTATGTAACTACTAAACTATGTATATATTCCTCTTATTATAAGCTCTCAATTGACCTATTGGTTACTGTTACCTGATTTACTATTCTCAAGTTATTCTCAATCTATCAGCCACAGTTTCTCATAATCGCAGCTACTTTTGGCTTGATCTTGTACAAATGTTATTTTCTATTTTACGGTGTGATATGGTCTAATTTGTTTGTATATAAACCCAGTATGCTTGAAATATATGATTCGTATCGCGGAGGCGAGATTGGTGTTCTGGGTTTAACAGAGAGGACTAGGCGAAAAAAGGACCAATCGGGACTCTAGGCTGACCACACAGGCTCATCCATCATTAGTTTGGTCGTATAAGTTAGCGTATCTAAACTGGCAATTGTATTTCGCGATAATCGTATAAGCTAAGGATATAACATTTTGTGCGTATTTGAAAGTAATTAACTTTCATCTTTGAAAGGTGCAACAATCAAATGTTTACTTAACAAAATAACTATATCAAAACTATAAATAAAATTTTATTTGGAAATAGATGAATAAAATATTGAAATTGATATGTACCAATTAGTAGTGTTAATAAAAAAATTAATGAAATCCTTACTATAAGAAAATCTTGAATGTTAATAATTAACATTAAATGAAAATAAAAGGAAAAGTTACCTATCAGTATTGTTAGTACTTGGTAAAATGAGAGAGGTTGACATTGTATTAGATCCATTACAAATATTAGTACGTGTTGAACCAATTTGTGCGTTTGATGAACCAGAGTTTAAATTAACAGATGTCGCTACACGTCTTTTAGTTGTAGGTGACTGACCAGCACTTAGGGGGCAAGTAGGACGAAGAGTAGATGAATTATTCGGTAGGATACATGAACTGTGTGCAGTGCGTGGACGTCGATGTAAAGTGGAACTAGGTGGAGGCATGGAATCACAAATTGACGATTGTGAAATTGTTGCGAATGAATTTGATGAAACACCAAGCACATCTTCAGCTTGTAGTACACGTCGTCTAGCCTTGGTGGGAGAAATTTAACGGGAAAATTAAATTTCTTTTAAGAAACGACAGAGAAGAAGTGAAAACAAGTATAAGAGATCATAAATCTTGTAATTTATCCTGAAATAGATCGATGGGAATATCAGTTCATTAATGAACCGTATCACAAACCTTTGCACTATTTTAAGTACGAAAAACGCATTTAAAACAGTGAATGAGTTGTCTCTCAAAAAGATAGGACAGTTATCATCAAATACACAGGAAAAAAACAGACACAAAGTATTCTGCCACTGAAAACAAAATCTTTTTTATTCATTTTTGTATTGCTTGTTTGAATATTTTCATAGATGTTTAGGACTGTAATTCACTTAGCTACTGAGTCCGGATAGCAACTACCTTGTGCAATGGGGTGAAGCGTAATTCGTTTTTGTACTCATTGTTTGAATCTCCCCATCGGTGTTTAGGACTGCAGTTGATCAGCCTCTTATTGGTATATGTGCATACTGTACGTATTGCCTCGATATTGCCATAAGTCACAAGTATTCTATGCAAAGATGGATAGTGGCTAGCAATGAAATTCTGGATGCGCGTTTCGTTCTGTTTTAGACTCGTCAGCTGGATGTATCTGTATTTCAGAGTCGATGTTCACTCCGGGACTTTAAACCAGTACCGTTCGCTTCTGCTAGCCACCATCCATCTTTGTTTATAATGCTTGCGACCTAAAGTAATATCGAGACAATCTGCACAGGATGCACATATGCCAATAAGAGACTGACCAATTGCAGTCCTAAACACCGATGGGAAGATTCGAACAATGAGTACAAAAACGAATTACGCTTCACCCCATTGTACAGGCAAGTTGCTATCTGGGCTCAGTAGCTAAGTGGATAACACGATGGCGTTTGAAGCGAACGGTAACGGGGTGAATATCATCTCTGGGATGCAAGTATATCCAGCTATGAAGTTCCAAGTAGGACGAAAAATGCGTCTAGAATTTTACTGCTAACCACTATCCAAAATCTTCTATAGATTATTAAAACTCCTATTGCTTGAGTTGGAGTGACCAAATATGTACAAACTTGTTCTGTACGTTTCATTTAAATATTTGTAATTCAGCACTTGAATGCATTAGTGCAACTATGTGATATTATTAAGTTTGAGCGATTTTTTAGACCACATGGAAATTACGAATCAATCCGCGCGCAGCTAAACCAAATTAAAAATCCAAGTAATACAAGTTGAATTTGTTTTGTTTTTGATGAGCAAAATAGTTGGGAACTAAAATATTATTTCAATAGAGGGAGTGAACAAAGGTGGCTGTTCAAATGTGTTGTTTTCAGTTAACACTTAGTTCTTAACAATGTAAATTACATTTACACATTTTGATAGTAGGTTTACAGAAACACCGCAGCTCAATGATAGAAATATTCTCTTCTTGGTGCTTTGAGTAGAGGAATCTCTTAAATTTTGTTGAACCAATATTTCAAATACACCTGATTCGACTAACTGCATAAGCCTGAAATAAGGAACTAAATATTCAGTTAACTGTGTGAGGCATCCAACTCTCACAAATTAAATGAAAGTTAATTGTAAGTCGATACATTTAATCCAAAATTATAAATACTTCAAAAGTGAGTATTTTTAGTTTTCAAGTCAATGAGATAGAAAATGTAGACAACGAAAAAGATATAAGGAACTTCATAAAATGTTAAATTACATCAAAGTACTGTAAACAACAGAACACTAACGACACTTAACATACACTTACTTTGCTAATTATTCCCTGACTAAAACCACTAACGTTGACACTGAAAGAAAAAGAAAGATCGTAAGAATTAGTATAACTATATAATTTACATTGAGTAACTTGCCAGAGGAAACTTATGAAATGTCGCATATATAGAACTAGATGTTGCATAAATTAATTCCACGGAGTAAATACTAGTAAAGTTACCTAAACACAATGAGTGTACATTTCACAAAATTTGAAAGTGGAAAATACCGTTTTTATTCTCTAAAAATATTGGTTTTTAAACGTGTTATATAATCTTTTATCGAATGAAAATTGATAACTAAAATCCATGGGGAAAGTACGACTCAATGGTTTAAACACTAAATTCAATTACGAGTCAGGTGATTGTGTATTGCAATGTAAAAGTTTATCGAAGTTTCTATACTCTCTCAAATAGATAACTATTTATCCACTCCCGTATTTATTGTGAGACAGGATTATAAACACTGTATGTAGTTTACAGCTTAGCACAAAATTCATGAACTTTCCACCACTTAATAATAATCTAATGGGTCTGATCTATAAAAATAATTGATTAGACTGGAATAAACAGTATCTATGTATAAGTGTACTATATTACTTTGAATATATACGATATTAGTTTACAGAATCATTGAAAGTTGATATGAGCAGTGTCAGTAAATGCAGACTGCTTAGTTGGGATTCCTTGGGTAATCACTGACTATGATTTGATACGTTGTGTAGAACGGTTTGAAATAGGTACTGCAGATTTGCAAGTGGTTGATTTAGTGGTCGATGCGGTTTACTTTCAACCACCAGGTCACAAGTGTAAGTCTCGCACCACCTATTTCTGTTCTGGCAACTTTATAGTATCACGAGCACTGAATACACGGATCTGTACTTGATAAATGAGTTAAAATTGGTTGCAGTAGTTTAATTGCTTTGACTTTTTATTCTTACGAAATCTTGAATTTAGTATCACTACATAGTTCGCGACATCATTTATTCTTCTTGAACGATATTACTTATGTTCAGCTTTGCACCTCAACTGAAATTATTTCGTCTTGTCCTCTTAATTTCTACTGCCGCTATGGTGATATGATGCGGCGACACAAACTAATAAGTAATTTTGCCAGTTCATACGTTACCTAATAATAACTAATTAAGTAAGCAGTCAAAGTTGAGTTTAACTATCAGATAAAACCCAACTGACTAGAGTTGTATATTTGAAAAGATTACGAGATCACCAAAAATCTGCTAACGCAACGAAGGAACAGCGACACAACGACAATACAAGCTTAACTATTCCGATGCGTCGCAGCCCTGCTAACTATAGGGAGAAGACTAGGTTCAGATGAGTGAAAGGTATATTCCTCGAGCAGCCAGAAGCACGAACAAACCAAGCGGAAAGGTTTGTGGATACGTTTAAGAGGGCTCTACTCAAGTCAAATCAAGCCATGATCCCTGGACGAAAGCACGTGTGGTCACGGGGCTAGGTTAAGTCATGTACGCAGTAGAAGTGAAAAGAGACAGGTGTACTCGACACCTAAACCAGTTACGGGAACGGCTAGACCCAGATCGCCCATAGTCAGAAATAAATCTGCCGCTCGACATCCTGTTGAATACTTTCAATATACCCACAGTCCGTGCGCAAGAAATAGTACAACATTATATTGATCTACGTTCTAGTCGGTGGTTGCTTCGACAACGGCGACAAACGGTCACGATGCAGATGGACCCCAAGAACGTACGCTATCAAAAAATGGGAGGTGCTGTGGATGCTAGGTCTCCAGTACTCACTTGGTAAACGTCTTATTTTTGTAATTTTATTTTGACATATATATAGTTAGATTTACAGAAACACGTGACTTGTGACATTGGTTAGCTTAATAACTTGATTGCAAATGACAAGCCGCCAAACAAGTATTCTTCTTATCAAGCAGGATGTTTCTACCGGTTGCATATCAAGTGTAGTACATTGAATTTTGTTTCTTATTATTATTTAGTTATGACTCACTGATTTGGATGAAATACTCTGCCATTAAATTAGAGGTTAACGCCTGTTTTACAAATACCAATACAGACATATTTGGTGGCATACACTGTTGATGTAAATATAAATGTTCCGCAAATACAGTTCATGTAATGGAGACGCAGATTAGGGTGAGCCACTTAGTGTCACATCCCAAAGAACATGGATCAATAAATATAACAGTAGTCATTTTAGCTTACTAAAACGACAATGTAGAATTTTGACATTCAATGATTACGAAGTCACACCATCAACTAGACTATTCAAATGAAGTTACGCAAATCGTTTCACCATTTTATATAAATTATTTGAAGGTGAACATGATATATTGCTTAATTATTTTCTAAATAATACAAGTATTTCCATCATACACAAATAAGCGTTTTTCCGAGTGATTTACGGTCATTTTATTTATTATAAAATAATACTACATATGGGTGTGACTGACCTGATAGAGGAGTTTAATAACGTGTAGACAAACAAGAAATCAATAAAGTGGAGATAATGCAAAACCTTCATATTCATCAACAAACAGAAATAACTAGTTAAAATAAGACAATTAATTGTAAACATTGAAATAGGAAAATTGATTAGAATATAATTTATACTAAATTATTGTTTTTGAAAACAAAGAAAGTTATAAAGACAATATAATACTAATAATAATAACTTACTTATTATCTGAGACACTGTAACTACCACCAGAACCAGGCACCTCTGTTGCTTTTGAAGCTGAAACCAAGGTAACCCAAATATTGAAGACAACGTTTTATAAATTTTAAGTAAACAAAAATTTCAATAGTCATGTGACTAGTTTAACTTGGAACTAACTTTATATTATAATAGCCACACAGAGCAATCAAGGCTAAAAGGTATATATATATATATATATATATATATATATATATATATATATATATATATATATATACTTTCAATATTTCGGGATAAAATACAATAACACTTTTAAGAAGTCTAAAATGAAAAATGAATCAAAATACATTCAAAGATTTTCACTGATGAAAATGTTAAAAAAAGAAAATCAAAAGCACCTTGTTGAAAAGTCTAACTACAAATTATTTCACATGAATATCTGATCTAAGAAAATGGGTGTTATTAAACACTATTTAGCTGGATTTGAACATAAGAGAAAGCAATTGACTTTCGAAAACTATTTATATTTTATTAGTATGAATAAAAATATTGGCACCAAAATATATGTATGCGACATACAATAAAGATCAGATTGTAAAGAAATAGAGAAAGTGAAAGTGAAAGCAGTGAATGAGTAATAACGAGAGCAGTTCATTTAGGAAAAAATATAACCACACAGGAATTTTTCGGTTCAAGAAGTTCCTCTCATTTACATGAAGAAATTAAAAATGTCATATCAGGACTGATACTGCTTTCCATTCAGAGCCACGTCTGATAACGCCTCAAGTAACTGTATTGCACTATCTCTAGGGCTCTAACCAGATAGTTTTTTTGAACCGATAAATGCTAGCCCTGGACAGTTTTCTTTTATACCAAGACACCATGTCATACACTAACCACCTCTCCACTTTCTGTAATCAGTCCTAAGGTCAGAAAGTAATGAATGACGTGAAATTCCCTGAGAAGACATTAGTACTACATGTACGAGCCACCGAAGTTAGTATCTCAAGATGGTAACCGACTGAATTACCGTCACTGTATCTGAGCACATATTGCAGAACCCCTAGATTACAAACATGGTGTTCTCGCTAAATATCATGAATCCAACGGACAACGATGTCCAAACAGAGAGAGTCGCTTAACATCCTGAAATCGGAAAGGTCAGGTTTCACAAGCATACAGAAAAAGTACTCTCACCAAAGCGTTGTAGATTCGAACTTTTACAGACAGACTAACATCACGAAGCCACTAAAGATGCCCCAGATTGATATAAGCTGCTCTGGCTTTGTTTATGCGTTAATTGATCTCGTCACTCATGCCACAACTAGCACTTATGCAGCGACCCAGATGTACGAACTTCTTACTGCTGACTATCAAGAAGGAGTGCAGATATAAGATCTTCCCAGTCTTGTAAAAGTAATTTGCCCTTAGAAGGTGCAAAGCACATTTCCGCACTTACAAACATTGATTCTCAGCTACTTGAGTGAGGATTGCATATCTAGGGTATCATCGGACAGTAAGAAAATATCATTAGGTCAGAAAGGCTAGACTGTCATTACAAAATTAGGAAATGGACATTTTTCTAAAATAATCGCATTGAAAACTGTCCAATCTTTTTTGACACAGTTAAATTATCTTATCTATTCAACAGTTAAGTTTGAGTCATTGTAAGGACTATGGTTACATTGAACAACTGATAAACTTTCTTAAAAAATACCAGTATAATGTATATAGAAATTTCTCACCATAAATAAACAATAAAGTAAAATGATAATTGATAAAACCAGTCTGTGATTTGAAATTATGAATTACATTGGAATAAAACTTTGTCAACTGGAAAACAACGACTGTTTACAAGTCAATTAAAATTATCAATATGGAGAACTATGGAAATGTAAAAGCAAACGTCCGAAACCCCGCCGTAGTTGATGATAACTAAAGTGATCAACACGCTTAACAACTTTACTTTCTGTGACCAATAAAAACAACGACACAGACCAGCCCTGAAGCCACATTCTGCATTTGGGAGGGAGAAACGCACTCTAAACATACGTTCATTATTTGTCAAGCAGATCAGAAGACTGTATAATGTCAATCTTTACAGAATAAATTATGTCATTTGTGTATTTTAAAATGGTAAAGGAATCCCCTGGAAAGATACCAGTGTCTGAAAAGTCAGATGAACAAAGTTTTGAGAAAGTGAGCAATCCTGATGAATAAGAATCGATGTTACTAACTGTAACGACAGTTCCCTAGAAGCTGTACCTTGTTAATAGAGTTCGGTATGGTTGGGATGTTACTTGGAGAAGAAAAATTAATATTGACCATAAACTACACAATGAATCCCCTATCAAAACGGTAGAATCCAATGTCATACAATATGCATTGTACGACATAAACTCATTAGTGAAGATGACCTTAATGTCTGGATGAGTAAATAAAATAAAGATTTCTGGGAAAACCTATTCAATAAAAATATGAAATGCTTTAAAACTGCGCTATTTTTCAGAAAATAATGAATACAGTTGCATACATATCCAGTCATTAATATATGTTAGTAATGAACTCAGCGGGAAATAAATTATTTTTCTTACCACATTTTGATGAGTTCGACAATTCTATATTCGCATACATTGAGTGGGACATATAGTGAGAAGAAATGTTAGTGAAATTAGCTGAATCCACTTGCCACTGGCTATCATCATTCTGTATACCGTCTGAGGAATCGTCCGAGGAAAGTGGTGCCGATAATACAGTACAACTACAACATTCACAGCCTGTGACATTTGATGTTCCATGATATGGGCAAGAATTTGTTCTTCGGATTAAGCGCTCGTTACCAGAGAATATTGCTTCAACATTATCTGATGGTACTCCGGATTGCTGAATTGCTAACTTAAGCATTTCTAGTTCTTGCTCTCGTTCTTGTTCTTTGACCAACATATTAGCCCGTAGTTGGTTTTCATTCTGTTGCAACCGACTGGCTAGTAGACCACGAGAGACAGCTGTGTCAAAAAGTTTGCTAAGCAAAAAACGTGCTTCAGTTAATGTGCAGCTTGAGAATAATGCATGAATATTATTTGACTGATTGTTACTTGAAGAGAGATCTTGTCGTGAAACAATTGATTTTGTAGGTTTATTTTCAGTGACCTTTGATAAGTTAGAGCCACATTTTTCAAATTCAATAATACTAGCTTGACATTCCTGTATAGCGTCTTGAACAGATTCGAGTTGTGCTGTAACATTTCTTATCTGTTAGAAATTAGAAAAGTTACATACATTTACATTTATAAGTAAACAACATCATGCAATAGAGATAGAAACAAATAAATGACATAGGAAAAAACAATGGAATAAAAATTTAAAAAACTCACTTGTTCATCAAATTCAGCTATTTTACTTGAATTCTCAACTTCCTCAGAATCATTGTTTGCATTTTCTTCGTTGCGAGCTCTACGAAGTTGTAAGCGTTTTAACCTTCGTCCTAAGCATTCACGTTCACGAATCCACGTTTGAAGATCATGTTCTAAACGTGCTGACTTTTGAAGACGTTCAACATCAGCGTCCAATTCTTTCGATACTACAGCCCATTTAGCTTTTGCAGATCCAAATAAACGACTTCGATTAAATGTTGAACCAGCCAATGAAGTTCGACGAACTGGTTTGCGTAGTGAACTCCAACCTGATCCAGTTATTCCTATTACACTTTGAGTCATGCGATTAGTAAATGAAGAGGACAATTGTCTCTGTTGTTCAATATTCTTACGTTTGAGGAGATCCAACTAAAGAATTTAAATAAATAAATTTATGGTTATGAGGAATCTGAATCGAAGATTACCTACTGGGAAGGAAACTAAGTAACAAGAATATTAATTTATCCAACAAATTTTTCCACATTTTATCTAAACGGATAAACATGTTCGACTGTGGCAACCGTTTGGATATGATAACTATCCTTGGCTATTGCAAAAACTCAGTTGAATCACTGTACCAAACTAATTGTATTACCAGACTATCAGTCATCAATCAGTTAGGTGTAAGCAACCTAGAACTTGGCAAATATATGCTGCAGTTAGGTTTAATTCATCACAAAATAGCAGCAAAGCCAGATGAAATTATCAAAACTCAGAGTGGTAGAAGTAGTAACAGTATCAGTGATAGCAGAATAAATTAGGCCTAGACGAAATGATTCGAGTAGAAAGAATGGATTTACAAAACAAGAAAATAAAAACATAATTTTAAAACTCAAATTTTAAACAAAGACAAAGCGTGTATTTATCTATAAAACTGTGATCGACTGAGTCATATTGCTCATCGGTACCAACCAGTAATTACGACCCCAACCTGGTAGTGTACATCTAATTTTTTAGGGTTTTTAGGTGCGTATTCGAAGAGGGAAAATTCACCCCTAAAATGGGTCTCGGCCTACTGTGCTCTGTTCCAGTGACTACGTGTGTAGGTTTGTAAGGATTAGGATACACACCACTATTTGTTCATAGTTTCTCCTAAAAACTAGGACTAAGAGGAAATAGAAAATTTTCTACTGAAAGCTTCAAAATCTTCCGCAAAAACCCAAGCGTTCAAAGTCAGTACAGATGAGATAGGCAAACACTTGAATGGTGCTTTAGGAACTTCAACACACCAAACAAATAACGATAACTATTTGCTACATCTATGATTATTGTTTATTCCTAATACGTACCAAGTTTAGGTATAGAGAGAGACACTATCTAACCTGGCGACTTATGAAATTAACTATACAATATACACAAATAGATAATATCACCAATACCAATCATCACAAAACATAAATAAAGGACGCATGGTGTTTCTGAAGCAAATAATTTGACTCTAACTATGGTCCAGTGAAAGCACATCAACACTTAAGACTTATGGAACGCAAAAAGAATTTAATAGGAAATCTTCCGAGCCATATGCAAGATAACCCATGGTTTAAGACTTAAAGTGATATGCCCCAAAATTCATTACAACAACACATTTGTATTCATTTATTACATTTCACTGAATGTTTCACTTGTATTTACCTTTTGTTTCCCTATTCCTATTTGTTACATTATTATTAACCACTTTTTTGTTAATTTCCCCTTACCAGATCGATGAGAGATGTGGCAACCTAAATTCATATACATTTGCGTTACATATCAAATTGTTGTGATCTATCTAGTTGAAATATTGATCGTATTATTAGTAGAAAAAAGATTGGAATGAAACAGGAATAGTCTGGAGAATGAAAAAGCATGGTTTGGAAGAAGATCAATACAAAATAATTAACTTTGAACGGGATAAAAATGATAAAACATCGCCTGAAGTTTTTTGCCTGTAAGATAAAAACATCAATTTTATGAAAATTAAACTGAATGGTTAAAAGAATATAGTGAACCAAGTTTTATTCCAGTTAACATTAAACAATGAATATACAAATGGAAATAGACTGTTCAAGATTAAAGTACCCGGACCAAATAAAATTGCACAATTTTTTTTAGGTTGAGTCATTATATGATAAAACATCTTCACAACCACTAATAAGAGTATGAAAACTTCGTGATATATTTGTCTGACGACATAAATAGTATGCAAAAGGCTAAAAAGATCAGGTTGAAGAGAATAGAAGGGAAAGTAAAAAGGAATTGTAGACTGGAAGAATAACACAGAATATGAAGTACAAATAATGGAAATTTGCAAATGAAGTATTCAGTGTATGGTTCCCATATTTTACAAAGAGATCCTATAATTTTGTATTTAAATATAATCGGTTGTACCCACTTGAGTTCTCGATCACTACAATAAGACACAAACCTTTGAGAAACCAGCTTTAGATAGAAATGACTAAGAATCCAGTCTTAGGAGTATACACATTCATCTTTGAGAAAATAACAGAGGTATATATATTAAATACTATTGATTTGAAGTGCAAAATCCATAGAATACTTGTGTTGACTAGCAAGTAGTATTGATTAGTCAGTGAATCATGTTCCACAGAAAATATGTTAATTAGACTATTTCAAACGTTAAAGTTTATTAATCATTTTTTATAAACTGTTACATAATTTATTACATCTGTCGACAAAAATCCGAATGTGAGATCACAAACACATATCAGACTAACAGACAAATCTAAAGATTGATTCAACAGGATTTTTCTGGAACAAATTGAATCAATATGCTTTTTGATCATTAGTGAGTCATTTGTTTTACACCTTAAGTTCAACACAGCACCATCTAAAAATGATTTCTGGAGGACACATGAAGTACAAATATCCTAATACATGAGATGTGTGATATATTTCACGATAAATTAGTCCACAATTTTAAATGGATGCATGATTGACCGATGACATCGCATAAAGTAAAAGCAATCTATAATAATTCAAATCGTTCATCAAGAGAAAATGTGGAAGTGATTTAAGCTAAATACATATTCCCAGAGAATATCTAAAAAACTTGATATTATAAAAATATTATTGTAAATTATTACCTCAGCTTGTTTCTGTTGCAATGCACGATCTTTAGCTGAATGTGCTGCTTCCAATGATCTAATTTGATTATCGGCTTGTGATTTGGCTTTTTTCAGTTCCATAACGCGCTTAGCTGACAAGGCCTCTAAATGACGAGTACGCTGTGTTTCCTCCCTTAAACGCCTGGTTAACTCAATTTTGTACCGACGTAGTTGTTCCAGTTCTTGTCTTAGTTGGCGTAACTCGTCATTTTTCTTAGATTGTTGTCGTTCTAGTCGGATTTGTTCCTGACGAGCTAGATGGAGTTGTGAAACTTCCTCCTACATATTTAAAAAAAGTCAAAATAATGCATTTGATTAGGACACTAACTATATTGTAAATTATTTCCCAGCTAACTATGAACAATACAATTGTGCATAAAACTGTTATAAATGCACTTCAAATATGAACTTACTTGTAATGCAGATAGCTTTTTTTCAAACTCTTCTCGAGTGCGCTTTAAACGTTCTTCACCAGTGTGTTCGATTTGGCTTAAATTAGCAATTACCGAATCCCTTTCATGCTCTGTTTCTTTAATACGCCACTGGAGACTTGCCATTTGTCGTTCGTAATGATTTTTCAGATGATCAAGTTCGGCAGCTTTAGACTGTAACTCGGCAATTAGTCTTTGCTTAGAATCGATTTCTGACGATACGTGAGCTAAACTCTGGTGTAATCGAGCTTCCTTTATTCCACATGGAGGTTTATTAACTGTCTGGGTATCCATATTTGTTAAAATATCATTTTCATCGTTCGTATCTATAACATCAAAAATAAATGAATAGTGATAGCATCTAAAAACCTTTTATGTACATTGTAATAGCATATAATAACCTTATCTTTTTAACTATCGATGTTAGAATTCACCATCTATTGTCGTTAGAGTAGAAACGTCTAACACATTCATGTGAATAGGATTTATATACTGACGTATAGACAGACTTTTTATGATATTAAATTACCATAATAACAAAATGATAACTGAATTATCAGAATATTCGATTCACTAAACAAATGAGCTCAAAATGATTATATAAAGTATTTAAATTAAACTGGAATAAAAATCTACAACCGAAACCATACGAAATATAATAGTACCATTATTATATATATATATATATATATATATATATATATATATATATATATATATATATATATATATATATATAGGATGAAATTTACTTGAAATAATTTACCATCTAAATCAGTGTCTGAACATGAATCCGTGAATTCTGTAGCATCATCCATTTTATCGCATTGTTTATCTCCTGAATCATTACTGGATATACTTACACTGCCTAAAAGAGTTTCGTCGCCCATATTGCCACTTTCAATCTGAAAATATAAAAAGAAAATTTTTTTACAAAAGAATTCATTTGATACGACTAAAATGTAGATGAATTGTGATTTTTTTTAATATACAATATCAAAAAAATCTGTCTTTGACCTAACTATTCTTGAATTATAACGGAATATCACCATTTATGTACAACTCCCAGGAGGTAATACAAAACAAAACGCCGGTGTTGGAGTGATAGGTTGATTGTTGTGATGAGTAGACCAAATAAAATACATAATGTATCATTATTAATTAAGATCGATGATTACGTAACATCAAAGTTTAACATAACAGTATGCTGATGGAAATTAAAATAATGTAACATTAAGTATCCTAGTTTTATCGTTAAGACAACAATTTCCTATGCAAATACCCAGTATTAAATATTGAAAAATACAGAAGAGAAAAATTAATTGAGGAATTAAATTATCAAGATGTATGCTACAAAGAATTATACCACAAGATGGTTCAAAAGCAAAAAATCAGACACAATAATAAGAATTATTGTATGATATTAAACTGAAGAGATATAGAAAAATGAAGAATAAGTACAATTGGGTGACTGGAATCTGTTTTAATCCATATAAGTTACGATCTTTGATAGTAGACCATAACTACGGTAAAGGCTCATTTAAGAAAACCATATCTACCTACGTGACCCATAATAATATGAAGTAATATTTTGATGATATATGTTGTGGTATAAAAAACCAAACCGAAATAAGTATTACGAGATTGAAGAATGATTTAAAAAGGACGTGGTTACAAATAAATTTTCCCGACACGGAAAATCAGTAAAACTCTGTAGTTATATATTCTGATAATATTCATACTAGGCCAAGAAAATATTCCAAACGTTTAATTTTTATATAATTTATATATATGATTAATAGTCGCCAGTATTGACAGAGAGCCTTGATTACTATGTACTATTTAATTGCAAGTATAATACCTACCTCAACAGATACACCAATCAATGTTCCAGTTATTTTATTCTCACGATCTTCATCATCATCACCAATTACGCCTCCATCTAAGTCATTGACTATAAATTTATGCAGTCTTCTTTTCTGGGAATCAACACTCTCGGAGTGTTCCACATCAGAATGCATATCAACATTATTGACTGCAAAAATAGTAAGAAAAAATTACATAAAGTAAATATAAGTTATTAGATAAACAACTAGACATAGTATTCCCATAGGTAATTAGCAGACTTATGCAAAACTTCAGTCTTAAATAGAAAGAGAATGTAATAAGGCCAAACCGTTTTAAGATTATCAATGAGGCAGTTGTATGTAGAAAAAACATACAACAATAACTGTGTAACAATTTATAGGACAGTATTGGGTAATAATTTAATAATAAGAATAGTATTTATGATATCCCAAAGAGTTGAAAATTGTATACTTTACGTTCCATGACTAGATGTAGAAGACTTTATTTACTCTGAAGAATTGGCTTAAATTACGTCACGCTCATCGGGATATCACGAATAGTATATTTATTGTTAATAAATGGTGAAGTTTGATTTCTTATCTAGACATATTGAATTATGTTATTTTAAGATTCAAATTAATTGTAAGGTGGAGAACAATATGACGCAGTCGCTAGAGCTGGACAAGCATTAAAATCTAGTGTTTAGAAGTCGGATGCCTTGAATCATGTTTATTCCAAAGTACAATTGAATAGGTTAACTAAAGTTACACTAGTAAATATAACAGAAGTACTTACGTTTCGACTTAAGAGGTTTACGTTCTTCACTCTGTGTATTGATTATCTGCCTCTTTCTGCGTCGCCGTTTGCGCTGTCTGTGAGGATAACTAGCTTCAATAGTGTTATCATCCACTTGTACTTCATTACTGAAGTAAGTATTTACTGCAGATAATCCCGCTTCGGCAGCAGCTAACATGCTAGAATCAAGGTCTGGGAATTCATTGCTTGTGAAGGCAACACGATTGGGTGTAAAAACTGAATCCATTTTTGAGCCAAATCGACGTTCTGATAAACGACTAATTTGAGCTGGTGAAGCATGCGTGTACGGTCGTTGACTGAATTCGACTAGTGCCTCAGCTTCCGCCAATTTAGTGCTAAGAAGCAATACAAAATATGTCAAGATTCAAACAAACCAATACAAATAGTTAAAACAATAAAATAACAGAAAACTTCATAAAAATTACTTGGTTTTACTAAGTAATGCTTTTCAGAAGATAAATTAGGTAAATTAATAGGAACCACTACGAACTGAAAATAATTACAATGCAAGAAATCTCTATAAGCGAAATGAGCATTTGATGAATTGCTTATAATAATAAAATAATAACATATATATAAAATCCCAATGAGTAGGAAGTTGAATTTAGACTAACAGTCAAAATCCTAACAAATAGAAAAAACCTCCGAAAACATACCGTAATTCTTCCACTTCAACGGTATACTTTTCAACAAGATGACGAAAATCTTCTGCATCAGCAGAAATGAGACCAAGTGATGATGACCTATCAGATTCTACCTCGCTTGTTTGTTTATCAGATTCATTAGTATGTTCTGCTCCAGATAACCGAAATTTCAATGCTGCCCAAGAACATGTCTCTTGATCGGCAAGCAGTTGTGCATTTCGAACCTAGAGAAAATAAAAGTTGCAGATATCCACCACAGATGATAGACAAGGCACAATATCATGAATTGATTGAAGTTAAGCATTAACACGGTTGGATGCCGCTTTAATGCTCTAGAGATTAAACTTTTGGCACTAAGATACGGCAACAATAAAACTTGGTCTAAAACTATCCCAGTGTGTGAGTCCCATACTAGGATAAAACGGCCGCCCAGTGTTTCCAGGTTTTTAATGGTGGTCTAACTAAGATCAGTTCGTGACTTAAACTGTGAAAATTGCCTATCCGTTATAAAATCTACTTTGCGAAGAAAAGAAGTAAACCCTAATAAAGTTGTATGTTGGGTGAAACAAGAAAGATTAGATATGAACTATGATTACAAATACTAAACTCGGGATTAGATCATGGTAAAAATAAGTTCCTCATAAATTAAACTATAATCACTTATCAAAACGGAAATTATGATTTACTCAGCTTATGTCCTCTTAGTTTATGAAAAAAACATAATTATCTAACAATCAATAAATTTGTTTTACATTATCTTTAATCCTATATTTGACATTTTATTTTTATATGGCTTACACATTGTCTTACATCAATTTTAGTCTTGAATTTACTCAGTTGCGACTAAAAATCTCATCCTGTTTCAACGATTTTCGGTCAATGATTGGTAGATCTCTTTAAAGCATTTTCGATTATGTAGCATTTGAACGGTTATTCTGTAAGCATTAAAGCTTTTCAAGAGATAACATGATAAATATTAAACACGGAAAATCTCTTACACATTTTTTATGCTAACTTAAAAGATAATAATGTTTATATAAAACATACTTAGGGATGGAAAGAATCTCGTTAAAATTATGAGGAAAGGAATCTGTTGGCCAGAAGAAAGATTTTATGATGAAACAATACTCATACAGCTTATTAAACTAGTCATTGACGAGTATAGATGAAAAACCTGAAGAAAAATATCCAGAAAACACTATAAACAAGGAGTTATAATCTATCATTAATTAGTGTATCTAAAAGGGATAAGACGTCAGGATATGAAACATTTCAATACTTGATTTAAAACCGGTTTAAATTTGTTTAACACTTTAAATTAATAGTGACTATACCCTTAAGAAAAATTTCCATAAGACCGAAGTTGTAAAAATCCACGTAAAATCTGGACAGAGTGTTCATCACTACACCTTAAAGAGGTCATAGTACGGATTTTAATGCTGTCTTATGGCCTAATGATTGGGTACATTTTTCCAGACACCAGACCGAAATCCATATGTAAGTCGTTAATGCTGTGCGGCTAATATCAAGTTAGAAGGGATGGAATCAAAATGGATGACTTATTGGCTGTAAGCTATATGAATGAGATTTCTAAGAACAATGTACCCAGTAATTACATAAATTATTTGTTTTGAAAATAATACAGCAGTCCAACCTACTTTTAAAGCATCTACAGTAACAGCCAATGCTTTAACGCGAAGACGAAGTTTGTCATTTTCGGATTGTAGCATATTGATCTCTCGTGATAAATCACTTGAATTACCAGAATTATTTGTTATTGCAAGTCGTCTGCCCTTAAAAGAGAAACAAGAGGATTCGGCGTTTAGAATGATCAAAAACTAGGTCAGATAAACACAAAAAAACATGTAGAAAAGTAAAAGTTTAATTGTGGAAATCGAAAGAAAAAATGACCGATGTAGAGGCTAACCAGTTTGAAAATAAAACTGAACTACTTCAGAAGTATCTTGCTTCGACAAAAAAAAGATAAACAAAGTTACTCATGGATAAGAATAATAAACACGATAGGGAATGAAAGCTATTTCACTCAAACAGGCATATTTCGTAGTTGCATGAGTAAATTGATAGGTTGTTTACTCCATATTATATTACATTATATTATCGTAAATTGATTGTAGCTAGGCATTAGCACAGTTGGATCCTGGCTCAATGGTATAAAGTTTTAGCGCTTGTGAGCGAGATTTAGGGTTCTGGGTTTGATTACTGCGTGCGGAGTCGTGGATGTGCGCTAGTGAGGAGTACCATACTAGGACGAAAGGACCATCCAGTGCTTTCAGGTCTTTAATGGTAGTCTAACAATGATCGGTTCACAATTTTAATAAAACTCAACAATCTCTACAACTATATACTGATATCTATTCCTAAGTGGAATATCATTTTTACAATCACACTCAGCTTCCAAAACTGAAATTAATGAATTTGATATTCTGAATTGTTTTCGTCTTGATATTTATACTGTGATAGGCAAAGTGAAAATTCTTATGATAGGAGGACTAAAACTTTAGGTAAACATCTACGATGTTGCTTCATATAATTAATTTTATAATAACAGTCTGGTAGAAGGCAAAGATATACCTGATAGACATTGTCTGTCTAAAAGGAACCTGCCAAAAAGGGTTGAATACACAGTGAATAAATATATCACCAAAATCTTCAAATATAATAAATCATTTACTAATGATGCGAAGTAATTGGTGAGAACAATATTTTGACTAATTTCAAATGGATGACTATATGAAATGGTATAAGTGGAAGTCAAAATCGATTAGACAATTTCTTCATTTTAGGATAAAGTAATTTAAACAACGTATGACCGCGATGCATACATATCTTAGGATTTCACTGAAAATACAGGCACATCCACAAAAATATGTAAAAGCGCCCATAATTCAAACAACCAAACTTACTTGTCTGTATTCGTTTAATTCTTCCTCCAAAGCAGCCAATTGAGCGCGTAATGTCGCCAACTGCTTACTTGTTTTATCCTGGTTCATAGTGACGCGATTACGTATATTACGTGCGCGATTTGCATATTTAAGGGTATTCAAAGTTTCTAAAAAATCACAATCAGATGGACTAATACAGGCGATCATAATTGTGCGAGAATTTCCACCTAAAGAATCTTGAAGCAAACGGGTTAATTTAGAGTCACGATAAGGCACATGACAGCCTCGTTTTGTTTTGTCACCCAAAGCAGATATGACATTACCGAGAGCAAGCTAAAAAAAAATAAATGAAAACAAATTAATAAGTGAATGAGACATTGAAATAATTAATTACAAAGGGATAATTAATTAATAAGACAGAATATAACACAATAAATACTTCAAGTGTTATAGTACCTATTACAAACATACAGGTATCATTAAGAATTTTTTTTGGAAAAACAAGGATTCCTTGATTTTCACGGAAATGTTAATGAGAGAACGAACAAAAAATTATTTGACATCTTCAGTACAAACAGGAAAGCAATAGGAATAAATAACAACAATAAAAGTAAATAGTTATATTTGAAAGACAAATACAAATAGTTAAATTATTAAACATCTTAAGAGATGTATAATGACGTATTAAAAGTTTATGTGAAATAATAAAATTTATGAAAGATAACAGCAACTCAAATTCAATAAACCAAGATATATAAAATGATTGATACAACTACTCAGTAAACAGGTTATACGTTTATGCACTAAGCTTTAAGTTAAGAGCTTCGAAAAAAAATCCTACTTGGTTGTTCAAACAAAAAATTGTTGCCATAGAATGAAATTTACTTTGTACGATTAAAATTTTAATGTGTTTCATACATTGATTTATTGTTAGCTCAATTCATGACTGTCAAGTGGATATTATAATCACTTAATGCATCAATTTGATAAAGCAAATAAAAGTCAAGATCATTGAAATTTTCAACGTTCAGAATAACTAGGTGTTAAATGAATGAGACATTGATATAATATAGTGATACATTTAAAAAAATGCATCGATAATATTACTCACAATAAAAAAATTTTTTTCTTAAAAATACACCAATAGTTTTAAGTTCAATGATTTCTTAAATACCAATAAATGTGATAAATTTCTATTTTATAAATGATCACTAACACTGACCTTGAGTGCACTTGGTTGTTTAAGGTGAGATAATAAAATAATTAAGGCAAAAAAAAGAAAAGATGTATAAGTTTGCCATTTATTAACAAGCTATTGAATAACATAAATTCAAGGGAGTTGGTGTTAATTAAATTAACTTGATAAATTATTTAATTATTCTATGAAAGAAAGGAACAGAAAACAATATATAAGGGAAGTAACTATTCAGTACAGGTTATAAAATGTCATTAAAAGAGTTGAAAATTATATATATATATATATATATATATATATATATATATATATATTGTTTTAAAGGAAAAAGAATTAATTAATCTATATAATTAAACAATTTCATATTATAATTAGTTCATGAGATTACATTATACGTAAATAACTAAATCAAAATAGAGAATAGTAGAAAAGTAATTTATAAACTATGTTCCAAGTTAATGAAGCAGAGAGAATAAAATTGTAGCTATCTGAAACCTGGCGGTTAATCTTTGTATGTAGCTGAAAATTAAATTTTTCTAGTTTAAATAAAAACTTAGAACTTGTAAAACGTGTCCATTACTTAAATGTCTATTGAAAAATCATGCATTTCTAGAAAATTTGACAATAATCACCCAAAAACTGATACTTCTAGTCATAATTGTGAAACTTTCTAGATGATGTGTGAGTAAAATTGAATCTCCGACCCCGAAAGTCACATCTTCAACATTAGGTTATTAAGAACACTATAAACTCCATTGTCACATGCGGATTTTCCCCCGTACATTTTGATTTCACGAACTCATTCTTTTTTTCCTGAATCATATAGTATATCTTTAATATTTTTTAATATTACTGGTACTGTCGCTGTTTCTATTACACTGGAATTTGTCTTGATGATTTCTTTTCACTGTGTTGATGTATTATGATACACACATATGCCCCAGGTTCTAGGTTGCTTATGAGTAACGTTTCACTTTTACATCACAGTAAAGCATCATCCTAAAATAACATTGTTTTCTTTAGATGAACGATTGTTAAGTAGGAAGATTTTGAAGCAGTAACCGAATAATTTTAATGGGATAAAGGTGAATTCATTTTATTTATTTTATCCCATGAAAATTTTGAGGTTCATATGAAAACGATTAAAAAACAATAGGGTTAACAAAATAAACAGGAATTAGAGAACTCTTCCTTTTAAAAAAAGTAGACAGAATCTAGCTTGGTGAATAGAGATAATACCACGGAAAACGCTCACTCATTGCTAAATTTAGCAAAATAATTAAAAGATACAAAACTAAAAACTACATATACATTAGTATATGGGTCCACAAATCACAAACGTAAAGTATATACAAAATAAAGCACAGTTCGAATAATATCTAAGCTAATAATAAACCAATTATCAGAAGCAAAATCCAACCTATAGATCACTCCCTTTAAGAGTGACCTATGAATGATCTTATCACTTACTAAACCGCGATTGATTGATATACCCTCTTTGGCACGATCGCCAGTAGCACCAGTTCGTTTAAGACGTTCACTGCCGGCAAGGTCGACGAAATGAAATTTCGCAGTTAGTGTTTCATATTCAGGCACTTGGTCAGTAACTGTAGAATCAGGATCAGGATCTGCGTCCGACTGAACATCTTTCTTTTGTCCACTGGAATCCTATTCATTTGAAAAAAAATTTAATCACATGGCTAATCAATGAAAGAATCAAAATGATGAGCGAAATTTATGCGATCTATTCCAACACCAAGGAATGCTAGAAAAGAATAAGGTCTCACATCAGAACATACAGATAATAAATAACAACTGCTTAGAAAAAAATGACAATCACGAATTATTGTTTAAATCTTGTGACCAGATCGTCATCAAAATTCCGACAGTAGATAGGGGTTATATTTAATTAACATCACTATAAGACAGTGGGTCAACCAATGGAGGTATTGACCTTTTGCGCTAAGGTACTCGAAATGAGAAATATGAGTGGTTGGAGTTCTTAGGTGATATTGAGATAAGGGAATCTTGAATGTTAGTACCTTTCATTTATTTCTATTTTCGACCTATATCATTCGTACTTATATTAGTTGCTTACCTACATTCCTTATTAAACAAAATCAAAGCCAAATACCCTTAATATAAAGACGCTTAATCCAATATTTCTTACACACGTAGTTAACTTACATACCACAGACAGGCTTATTAATATCTACACAAAATTGGATGATTTACAACTAGTTAGTAAGAGAATATATTGTGTTAAGTGATCATTCTTAAGTCGAAAAACAGACTTAGATTTCCGAGATGTCCTTAAGTTACTGTAATATGGGCAGGGACATCTCGAAATCCGAGCAGTACAACCCACCAACAATCCATGAATTACCCAAGACTTAATACATACGTGGATTAACTCACGTTGTTCCACTTCACATAAGTTCAAAGACGGCATGAAAGATATGGAGTCTAGGTTACAGTGGATAAAAATACTTAATAAATACAATGAGCTGTCTGAATACTGGTTAGTTTGTCACCATAGATATACCATGGAAGTAAACAGTGCACAGTAGAAGGTATCCTTTATTAAAAGCATGACCAAACGTATTCAGTATGATGTCTGATAACACTGAATACCGCGTTAACATAATTGTAACTAGACTTTTTTTACAAAATAGTATACAAATACGAAGCTTGCAGAGTCTCTATATCAAATTTGAAAACGATCCGTTATTCATTTATAGCTGTTTATCTAAATATGTTCAGTCAATCGACTTGACGGTAGAAATACTCAGCTTTCAGCTAGTAAGTCGAAGGTTTGAACCTCGTTACACCTACTTCAGTTTTAGCATCCAAATAGTATCCTTAACAATGGTTTAAAGATAAGTACACGAGGCTACATTTCGTAAATGTTTTACATTAGATATCAATGTCAATTAAATGAATATTTGAACTCACCTCTTCATATTTTAATAATCTCTGTTGTCTAATGTGCAATGTAAATATAGCGTGGGAACGAGAGGATTGAGTATTCATATTAGTACTAGCTGTACTTCTGATTAGTGAGCCATCACGAAGACATTTTAGGGTCTGAAAATAAAACGATAGGATATGTTTATATGGTGAAATTTGTTGCGTCATGCTCGCCACTTTAATAGTAAGGAAAAATAGTTCTGGCGGAAAAAAATTATTTAAAGTCATGCGAAAACTACATTATATTCACAAGCTTCTGTTCTGAACAAATAAGGATACACCTATAACTTTGCAGAATTTTTCAATACCTTTTCACAAATTTCCTACTTAGGTCCCTGAAATCTACGACATTGACTGTATTATATTACAAATATGGTTAGAAAAGATTCATCCCAGTTTGAATATATAATGTGGCACAAAATCTCTTCATTCAGGTGACCATGTATTAAAATAGTAAAGAAAGATTGGACTACCTAGATAAATGATATACTAAAGTAGATCAGAAATATAGAAAAGATAGGTTTAAAATAAAAAAACATTTGCCATTTATGAGATGGTGAAGATTTGTAGCTCAAATGGATGATTTTGATGGAGTTTTGTTCTGTGAGCTGGATGGTTTGGTCGTTCTTCTGAACGATGATGTATAATTACGGAAAGTCTTATACTACATACGATTGCAAAGCAACTTACCAGTTCAGCAACTATTTAACTGGGAATGGTTCATAACAAAAAAACGTGAAAAAACGACGATGCAAACCAACAACCACGTGAAAACTATTAATGAACTCTGACACACCTATTCAGTGAGAAATATTGATTCTGAATGCCAAAAACTAATGAGACTCTAGGCCTCTTATGAACGATTATTTGTAAGTTGTCACCGATTTATTATTTATCTGAACACATAAATATTGGTACAAAGGGGCACCAAATATATATGCGCCACACAAAACAATGAGAATTTAAAGAGAAGAGAAAAAAAGGTAAGGAACGTAGGGAATTATAAAAAAGAACAATAACGACCAGGTTAGTGTAAGGTAGTGTAATAGTAGTAATAATGGGGAAAACGAAAAGGTACAATCAGAAGAAATCTTTCAGTTAAGGAAGAAGCAACCGCTTTTTACGAAGAAAGTAAAAGAAGGTTACAGAAGGATCGCCACTGGCTTCTATTCTGAGCCCCCAAATGCCCTGGTACGGCCGAGAGTGGGGAGAGTCCGCTCTCCCTCTCAAAATGCTCTCAAATGGCCACGCGTATATAGCTTCTGTCAGGGAAGTCCTACTCACTGCCTTCTCGTGGCGGGGGTGTTGTTTACGAAAATGAGAGGATGAAAAGCGAATGTCTGGCGCTTTAACCGGATCCCAAATCAATGGTGCACATGGGCTCCAGTATCCTGAAGGAACAAATGGCGTATGAACCAACTTCTTGGTCACCGGCTTCCATGGGACTGCATCTCCTCACGATGTTCCACTGCCTTGTGGATCAGACGTTCAGGTCGAAGGCTCCCGGTGTGGTCCCCTAAGAAAACCACCTGCTTCGGTCTGAGCATCCGGGCAGTATCACAGCCCTCACACATATCAAATGAGATTTGTGTGGCGCATATGTATTTGGTGCCTCCTTGTACCAATATCTATGTGTTAAAATAAATAATCAAAATAATACACCATCTTTCGGACCCCAGCCACGGAGTCGTGAAGGACCAACACAAGCCAGTCCTTTGCATCTTTCTTTCATACCACGACACCATGTCATACACTGACCACCTCTCCGCTTTTTCCAACCAGTCCCAGAGTCGGCAAATAATGCACGACAAGGAATTCTCTGGGACGACATTTGTAGAACATATCCAAGCCACCGAAGTCGCTGTTTCAAGATGGTGACACCAATTGCATTATCGTCTCTGCTCCCGAAATCACGATGCCGAACATCTGCATTACTAACATGGTGTTGCCACTGAATGTCAGCAGTCCTTCAGAGACAACGATGATCGAACACAGAGAGTCGTCTAACATCCTCAACTCGAAGAGGTCAGGTTTCACAAGCATAGAGCAAAACTGCTCTCACCGACGCGTTGTAGATCCGATCTTTTACAGCCAGACTAACACCACGAAGGCACCAAAGATGGCTCAGATTGGTATAATGCACTCTAGCTTTCACCATACGTGAATTGGTATCATCACTCACACCACCAGCAGCACTTATGCAGCTACCCAGATACACGAACTTCTCGACTACTTCTATCTGTTCACTACCCAGGGTGAGTACAGGATTAGAATCCTGCCAATCTTGTAGAAGTACTTTGCACTTCGAGGGTGCAAAGCATCTGTCTTGTCTACAGACACTGATTGCCAACTGATTAAGTGCGGATTGGATAGCTTGGGCATTCTGGCACAGTAAGACAATATCATCCGCATACTCAAGGTCGAGAAGTCTTTCTCCAGGCAACAGATCCACACCACCATTACTTACATCCGTCAGAGCTGTTTCCAGAATGTCATCGATGGCAAAGTTCAAGAGGATTGGTGAGAATGTGCAACCCTGTCTAACCCCACTGCTTGAATGGAACAATGGATAGAGGTGGTTGTATGCCCTCACTCTGCCTGAGGTGTTTGTGTACAATGCTTTCAGGATGTTAATAAACTTCTCAGGCACGTCCTTCTTCAATAGACAATCCCAGAGAACAGTCCTGTCTAACGAATCGAAGGCAGCCCTGATGTCAAAAAACACTACGATTGTTGGCCTTTGATAAGTATGGCGGTGTTTTAACATTTGGCGGAGGGTGAAGATATGATCAATACATCCTCGACCAGAACGAAACCCAGCCTGCTTCTCGCGAGTCAATCCTTCTCGGGTTTTGAACAACCTACGAAGTATAACGGAAGCCAATAGCTTGGACACAATCGGAAGTAGACTTATTCCACGATAGTTGTTACAGGAACAACGTGAACCCTTTTTAAAGATAGGGACAACTATCGACTCATTCCATGACGTTGGTACACTCTCTAGTTCCCAGATATTTGTAAACAACGTCGTCAGTCCCTTAGTCAAAAAGTCACCACCATCTTTAAAAAGAGCCGGAGGTAAGTCGTCTGGGCCCGGTGATTTGTAACGTTTCAAGAGTTGGAGTTCCTTGCGGACTTCCGCCTCATTCGGTGGATCAGTCGTCACCGGCCATGGAGGGCAGAACAGCCTGGCCGATGTTGCCGGAGCAGCAAGCCAGTTGAACTGCCCTTCGAAGAATTCTGCCCATCGTCCAAGACGTCGATGGATGTTAGTGATTGGCGTTCCGTCATCCTAGCAGATTGTTTCGCTCACACCAGACTTCTTGCTGCCAGTGGCTCGGGTGAGTTGGAAGAGCTTCCGGTAATTACCAGATGCAGCTGCTGCTTCCAGCTCATTAGCACGCTCCAACCACCAGGCTTCTCGATCCTCACGCAAGCTTTGCCCGATTTCATTACGTAACATCCTTCGTTTGTGGTCAAACTCACGGTCATCCGGAGTAGACCGACGGGCTTCAATGAGTTGTGAGGAACCAGAAGAAACCCAGTGCTTGTAAGCGGGATGTTTCGCAAAGCCACAACTGACTTGACCCGCCATTTTCATGGCGCCATACAATCGCAACCAATACTCATCTATACTTTTCGGTGGAATGGTATTTAGCCTAGAAGCTAGCTCGGTTCGATATTTACTAACAACAGAAGTTGCAACCAGCTTGCTAACATCAATCCTTTGGTGGCGGTCACTTCGTTGACCACTGAAAAGTAAGGTAAGGTTGGCGCAGACCAGGGCATGATCAGATGCCAGATAGGTACTCCAAAAGGAGCGGCAGTCTTGTACACAACCACACCAGCGGTAGCTGATCGCGATGTGATCAATCTGAGTCCAGGCTTGAGATGCAGAGGGAGGACGCCAGATGGCACATTGGTGATGACTGTACCGAAAGTTAGTGCTAGCCAGAAACAAGTTGTGATCTGTGCATAGTTGCAGTAGACATTCTCCGTTATCTGTCCTGCAATCAACAAGTCCCCATCGACCACCTAAACGACTCTCTTATGTGCCTAGACGCCCGACCTGAGCATTTAAGTCTCCGGCTAGTACTACAATATCTGTCAAACGCACTTTCTGGAGAAGAACAGTTAGCTGATGGTAGAACTCGTCCTTGATTGCATCCGGGCTGCAATCTGTCGGGGCATAGGCGGAGATGACGAGAAGACATCGTTTCTCACGCCGATTTCTTCTCACTTTGATGGAACTTTCTAATCTAACAGCACATAACCTACTGTTAATGAGGATCCAATCGATTAATGCTGCCTCAGCTCTAGCGTTTAGTGCTACACCAACGCCAGCAAGACCAGACGAAGATGCCACAGGGTCCCCGGATAAACGCACGTAAAACAAGCTTTTTAAAGCGACAGATGGAGAGCGAATTTGTAGTACTTCGCCAGAGTCTTGAATACGGGTCTCGGATAGACAACACACGTCAATATTAAGACTTTCCAAAGACATAGCCAGCCCTATCTGTTGTCCGACCTGCATAAGTGTGCGAACGTTGAAGACAGCCAGTTTGAATGGTGCGCGTGGTTTCAGAAAAACTGCTTCAGTACTCGTATTCGGTGATAACATACAATTTTCAACTAGGCAGTGACTCGAGAACGTTTAGATAGAGCCGAATTCCTACCATAGGTGAGCTGCTGTATAAGTCGAAAAATAAGGGAGGACAGAGTGGGAATAAAAGAGAGTGAATAAATGACGTAGTAAATAATAATAATAATAATAATAATAATAATAATAATAATAATAATAATGCGAGTCATTTGATTGTTGATCGGAGCGAGAAGAATAATTTCCATATATAAACAGTTCATCATATTTTTGTGTGTGGGCTGAGATACTGCCCGAATGCTTAGACCGAAGCAGGTGGTTTTCTTAGGGGACCACACCGGGAGCCTTCGACCTGAACGTCTGATCCACAAGGCAGTGGAACATCGTGAGGAGATGCAGTCCCATGGAAGCCGGTGACCAAGAAGTTGGTTCATACGCCATTTGTTCCTTCAGGATACTGGAGCCCATGTGCACCATTGATTTGGGATCCGGTTAAAGCGCCAGACATTCGCTTTTCATCCTCTCATTTTCGTAAACAACACCCCCGCCACGAGAAGGCAGTGAGTAGGACTTCCCTGGCAGAGGCTGTCAGCGAACCGCAACTCCCAACAAGAACTGGATCGTCTTTACTGGTAATTTCAGAAGTTACCCATATCCCAAAAGTAAAATTCAGCAAGTGAAGGATGAAAACACTCTAATAAAACTTACGTCATCCAAACTTGATACAAGTCTAGTAGATACACCGGTCAAATATATATCCCCTTGTGCGTTTTCATGCAATCTTAGATGAGGTTTTTGAATCTAAAAAAGTCGAACCCATGGAACCAAGTATAGATAAACCATTATTATAACAACAGAAATTGACATCAGAGATATTTACAAACTAAACAAGTTTATATAAGACTAACTAATTCAGTCAGTCAGCTACAACGTAAGACCAGGCACATATATGCATCGGCCCAAGTTGCCATACCTCATTAGCACAAGATGTAAACCAAATTCATAGAAGCCGTTACTTCAATGGTAGTAAAAAAATTTCATGTAAGGATATGATACAGGGAGAGAGAATTAGCTCGTAGAAAGAAAAGTATAAAGTGATTTCACGCCTTAAGGGAAGATAGAGAGTGCATACACCTACGCCATTGTGATCGATCTAAACTTATCATTACTTACCCGGTGATCCTAGAAGATGCGAGCGATATTTCTAAGACATCCGTGGTCAAATACTAGTAGCTTACGAGTATCTTCTACTCTTAATTGCCACGTTTTGCTACCGTAAAATAAAACAGAACTACTAAGCAGTATACTTGTCCCTTAGTTAATAGATCAATATCTCCATCGCCATATGTGACATAAGTTGGCAAAGGCCAAACGATCTTTTTGAGTTTATGTAGAAATTTCGTTAGACACCAACCCATTAGGGCTGATTAGACTTCCAACATAAGTGAAGTTGTCGACGCATCCGACCACTTCACTCCCTATGCATTAACTACTTCAAGAACACACACATTTAATACAAATGAACTGAGTATCCCATACAAATGGTGTTAAACACTTTTAGTCACATGTTTCGCTATAACTATAAAGAGATATTTAAGTTCAATACGTCTTTAATGGATAAAAAAATAATTGACAGATAATTGCTTGAAGATAGATGTCTGAAAACCGTGATCCTTAGATACCACACAACTGAAATACCAGTTAGGTTGATTATTAAACATCAGTAACAATCAACTTGTGACTAAAGTTTAGTCGTTCGAAGTACATTTACAATGCTTGTTATATGAATCAGGTCCACATACATTTAAATGTAGTTGTTTAAAATGAATACTTCCATTCCCAATTCTAGACTCGGGTAGTGTTTACTAAATGGTGACTAAATATTATGCTGGAATGAGCACATAACACCAATTTTTTTAATTACAACCCAAATCCAAAAGCATGCCGAATGAGACCTTAACTTTTCATAGAACCAATAAGTTCTAATGGATAAGAAACTTTAATACCCAGTCACTTTGACCTCAATCATAAAATATGAGGACGATCAATCAGAACCTGATTATCTACAGTCCCTTTCTTAGGAACTAAAACGACCTCCCAGTACACAACATTACTTGAGTATTTACCGAGACGTTAAATGAACGAAACGGAGGAAGATGGGTTGTAATACTCTAAAACAGGAAAACGCTTGGGAACAGACTATAACAATAAACCATACAAGACAGTATTCTTTTGACAAAAAAACAACTCATCCACCAGGTAATTTGGTATGAGCCACATGATCTGAGCGCTAATGATACTACAGGGTTGCCCGAAACAGAAAATAAAGTGCTAGCTAGATTTGGTGGGAATAGAATTCTGAGAAAAAGCAAGGTATAATGTACAATGAAGGTAAGTGTTTATAAGTAGGGCACACATTTCGCACCGCCAAAATACAAAATACTGCCCCAAGGCTGGAAGGAGCCTGTGTTAATATGGCATTGCAAAGAAGAGACGCGCATGTCAGGTTTTATGTTGAATATGAGTGAGTGAGCTGGTGTCCGTCATCACTCTCTGTGCTGGACAGTCAGAAAATTTAGAAAAGTTTGTAACTGGGTAATGGTATGAGCGGTTTGTTGCGTGATGGGTGAGATTAACTTATGAATAATAAAAGCCAAAAGGTTTTATGTAGATTTGGGACACTTAATGCTGTTATGATGTAATTCCAAATGTATAAGGTTGGATTTACAACGCATCGGTAAAAGCAGTCTCGGTCTATGGTTGTGAAACCTTCCTCTAAGCTAGTGGTATTTAATGATTGTGTTTAGTCATCGTTGTTACAAAAAGATTACTGACACTCAGAGGAAACACCATATAAGTAATGATGAGGACTGTTAATGTGTCTCAGAACAGTGAAGATAATTCAGTCGGTTACCACCTTGAAACACCGACTTCGGTGAACAGGATATTATTTAGAATTGTCATTCCAGCGGCTCTCATTTTTTCTATTTATTCCCAATCCTAGGACTGGGTGAAAAAGGAAGAGGTGATTGGTTTACGAGATGGAATAGTAGTATGAGAGACAACCGTCTTAGACCGCTATCTATCAGCCCGTCAAAGGCTCGCTAGTTGAGGTCCTAGGTATGGTTTAACTCAATGGCTTGAGGCTATTAAACATGGTTTGGAATAGAAGCTAGTGATCATCCTACCATGGTTTTCTACTACACTGAATAAAATTGAAATGAGCTTCCCTAGCTGGAAGAAATATTTCTTGGCTACACTTATAAATGAACTGCACCCCATATTAAATACTACTTCTGATCATTTATGTACTGAATATATTGCTGAATATATTTCGCAATATTGCCTCACTTACATAGAGCATTTCACCCGTGCTCTTTTGTACCAGGATTAATACGTACAAATAAATAGTACTGCCTGTAAACTTATACTCTAGTACTTCAGTACTGAAATTACAACTCAAACATTATCATAAAAACTTACTTTTTCAGAATCAAGTAGGTCAACCAACTCCTCATTGTAAAGCTAAAGATAAAGAAATACATTTTAAAACTAACTGATATCAGACAGATAAACGTCATCAACATAGAGCCCGGCACAGACGTGCGTTGGCACAATTTGCCATACCGGGTCAGCATGAGATGAAAATAATAAGATATTGAAGTAATGTACTAAAGATTAAAAGGATTAGGGCTTTGAAATATGCTTTGAGAAGACCGAGTGAACAGGTGTCAATGTAGGGATACTGGAATCCAAGATCGAGAGGAAGACAAAGAGTGAATGCATCTGCGTTATTGTTAGCGATTCTGAGTTATGTCACTCAAAGTCTCCAAATACTAATTAGTTATTTTACCGACCCTAACCAGATAGTCTGTATCTACCAACACAGCCCAGACCAACAGTCAATAAGTTTATGAACTGATGACTCATTTTGGCTTGACCACTTCTAACTTCTCAACCTATCTCCGCACTAGCAAGCAACGCTAATCAAGGTAGATGGTGGTTAGTCGTACGTAACATGTCTTGATGTGAGGATTCTGAAAGCTTTTTGGAAACACGTAAATGTCAACGACATGAAATTTCCGCTTTGCATGAAAATCTAACAAGTATGCGTTACAGAAAAACTCAGGACAATTCAGCGATGCTGAACTAGTGAATGATCGAATTCTCTTGAAATATCTAGGTAAAAACAACTTAACAAAAACATGTATGCGACTGTTTAACAAGCACCAATATGACTCCGACGTACCTTCACTTCAGATGAATACGAAAACATCAGGAAGAGTGATTAGCAAATGAAAGTCGAACAAACTTAAGCACTTTGCATGACCACTCCAAACCTACAGTTCTTATTGACGGGTATCCCTCTAAAAGTACTAGTCTTTAACATACAGTAGATATGATGTGTCGTACACCATCACTGGGCATCTACGTAAACGCATTAATAACGGTAAACATTAAATTAGAAATTTCACCCAATATTCTACAGGAATTTTTTAAAGAGCTATAAAAAAACCTAGTTTATACTGCCCATTTCAGTTCTCCTCTATGATTACTTTTAACACGGTACTCCACTGATGAAATATAGGTAAATTAGGTCAGGACCTGGACCATCTAGAGCACTACAGTATTTAAGCACGGTTTTTTCTGTCAAACATCATACTATATTGTGTAATGGGCTAGCTCAAATGCCAGTACTAATCCTTGTGAACATTCATACAGACTACTTATCCAAGAGGACACTACTGAGTTTAACAAGGAGCTCTGTAAAATATTCCGGTAAGTGCTGACTAACAGGGTTAAAAGTGAAAGTGGTATGAATACTACTTAACTTCTTAAACTTCGGTAATTGAGTCGAGTCTTATTGTTTGGAAGGCGTCCAGATTCATAATTGAAAGCTCAAAAATTCAAATACAATTGAAAGTTTAGGTCTATGGGAATAACATCTAGTTGTGTTTTGAGGTGTGCTAACTAGGTTGTAAACGTGGATTAATTACGACAGATATTTCATGATAAGACAAGGGGTGTATACTATCAAAACTGACAAATCATGTGGATTAGTTTTGTGAAATGCGTAACTCGTAACGAAAGCATGGAGATAGACCTACCTCCAAAAACTGTGCGACAACCTTAAATTCAGGAACTGGTTGTTGTTTTGCAGCGGCTTCAGCTCTGCGCTTTGATACGCTAGCAAATAAATACTGGACAGCACGCGGAATGATTCCAGCATCCGTGTGACTGCAGTTGAAATCAAAACCTGTACCCATAGTATATGTTTTTCCAGAACCCGTCTACACAATTAGAAGCAAACGACATACCTGACCATAAGCTATTATTGTTGCGTTATATCCATCCATACAGCTAAAGAATTAAACAGGAACGAGAGTAACAAACCCATCAATCAGTGGCTTTGCCAAGGTTTGGAAGATATGATCCTGACAAGCGTTCATATTGAAAACGTGATCATAAGTAAACGTAGCATCTTTTCCAATAACTATTTGAGGTTCATTCGAGGCAACTGTAGTACATATATGACTCATTCCAGCTTTCTCCTTAGCACTCTGAGGTCGAATTCTAGGGAGTTATGACTGATCAGAATATTCCTACCTCACAGCGACCCTGACAGATGTAGAGTCAGCGTCCATAGGTGATTCCGCAGAAGATCTCTGAATTCCCATATACTAAAGTGGAACTAAAGATTTGATGAAAACCGAGGTTAGCCAGCGCGCGTTATGTGTTTCTACAAACTTCAAACTACGCTGAAATTTCATGAGGTTAGTCAGGCAATACCATTTAGCCTAACATAATGCGACTGTTTAGACCTGTTTCTAAATCCACTCACTATTCCATACATTAATTTACTTCTTATAAATCTTCATAAGTACGTAAGTCAACCATTCACGTTAATTTTAAACATACATTACCTTGAACTCTGACTAGCCTTAGACTCCGGTAATATGGGTATTAGATCGCTTTACCTCAGTTAATTCCTTCATTACTTCTGTGAATACTTAATTTATTTATAAAGATGCTCATCGACTTGACTGATGCTAGTACACACGATCAAGTAGAGTGTTTAAGCCCTTTGATCACTAGATGAGGAAAGCAGCATCTCAATCATCGTCTGCAAACCATTTAGTGAGGACCTACATGGATAACAATTCCGGAATAAGCAAGGATTTCTTATATAGTAGAGCCAAAATTATTCAAGACACTGAGTATCGAGATAAGATATCGCATTTCATGAGGAGTTTTAGTCGCCGCAACTGGAGTCTAATGGCCTGAATGTTGGCTTCCCATTTACATCAATCAAAACTGCTAGAGCAACAGTGTGATCCCAAGATATATGGGACAATTTCGTAATGAACTTACTGATCGCCTATAGGAGCGTCGTTGTTTGTCATTCTTCAAACTTTTAAATTGCTTGTAGACGACTCAAGTTGCTACTAGATTCAGATTCAGATTTGTAAAGTAAGGACAGAAGGCCCATGGCCTATGTTATTCCTTTTCTAGTATGCTTCTGTGAGTGTCCAGACTTCTCTTGGACGAGTCAATTGAGGGTGCGGACACCACTACTTCGGGCAGCAGGTTCCAAGTATTGATGACTCGGTGTGAGAACCTGTATGTCACGGGTATTTTGTTTGTTCTTGGCTTTTCTACTTGCCTGCTATGTCTTCTGAGATGTCCCGGTCTAGTGGGAAGAAAAAGAGAGAGTAAGTTAGGTCCAAAATCGTTTCTCAGTATTATGTACATCAAAATTAAATCTCCCCTTAATCTGCGATAGGACAGTGTGAAGAGATCTAGCTTTTCAAGCCGCTCTTTGTATGGTAAACCCCGGAGTTCTGGAATTGCACGGGTAGCTGCCCTCTGTACTTTTTCTAGGATATCCGAGTCACCTTTTAAACATGGGCTTGCAGCCTGAACGCAGTTCTGAAGTTTAGTTCTCACTAAAGACGTGTATACTTTGTTGAACATGATAGTATCTAGCTTTGTGAATGTCCGTTTTAAAGCCCAGAGGGTTCGAAACCCCTTAGCTGCGACCTTCCGGCAATGGGTTGTCGTCTTAAGATCCTGACTGACTGTCACCCCCAGATCCTTATGAGACCGAACCACTGGTGATTGCACTTCCCCTATGTTATATCTATTAACATTTGAGCCCCCGAAGTGCATGTAGACACACTTTGCCGCGTTGATAGGCATCAGCCACTCTTTAGACCAGTTAATTATATTATTTAGGTCAGTGATAAGTTTGAGTAAAACTGAGTCCCTCCCTTTCAGTCTTTTCACATTTAAACGGTCCTTGTCATTTGAGTTATACCACATCTACTGAGTATGTTTTTATGCAAGCATCGTGCCTCGTGTCAACTACTTCGTTAGTTCAGTGGATATTTAGTGCTATTGGTATTGGTCTGTAACCTTACGATCCTTGAAGTTGAGCATACAGTGGCCGGAAAGACTCACATTAAACACTGAGTACTTGGAGAAAGCCGGAGATAGTGAATGCAGGAGGGCTTAATGGAAGCGAGATAGCTCAGCCATGCACGTGTGGTCACTCTATTTAACCTCATGTTTGTTTATATCAAATATATTACTCTATCCCTATCCCAAGTATATTCTTCAGGATCCCTTGGCAGAAAACGCTGGCTGTCACGATAGGACGAGTCAATATAAGTACTGGTGTGGATTCCAAGTAAGATCTGGTATATTAAGTAGTCACATAGTGGTAAGTCCATAATTCTGGATTATGTTTATTATTCTAGCAGTATAGTTAAAATAAACATTTTGAAAAATTATTCTTAATGTGCTTTTAATTTTATGCCTTAAGTCTCCCCATATAAGTGTTAATTATCTCACTCTCATAGCTACGCCTCACCCAAGATTGCGTGTGCCACATTTTACCAGCTGGAGGCTTTAAATGGTATCAACACTGATATTTAGGTAATTCTGTTGCACTATGATTGGGTTCGGCATTAATATTACTTTAATAGTAGACCTAATCCCAAAATTGTAGATTTGTCATGAAATGACTGCCTAATCTATAAGATCTTGCGTTGAAGTCACATAATTATCTACGCTGACTCGTTGTGTCTTGATAATCAGCAATATGATGTTTGGCACTTAAGAACACATTTTGTCTGAGGATATAATATATTTAGTATGGAAAGGTATAAGTCACACAAGAATGACCATACCTGCAATGCCGAGCCACGCCGTGCAGATGGAATGATTGTTCCCACGTTCATCAGTGCTGACCTTTTCTCCGCGTTAAATGCTGAATATGAGTTCTCTTAGTCATTTGTAGTTAGTTAGTTAGGTGTAACCTAATAAAAACTGATTCGTTCGATCGTTTCTAAATTTCAATCAAATATTTAAAGTTCAGTCGTTGTAACCTGTTCGGAATTACAGGTTTAATTAACGTTCATCATCGATTTATACCTGATTACACACAACGGGTGAGACCGTTGACAAATCCTTCCAGGAGCGAACCAAAAGGTTCCGAGTTGAACTTTGATACCATTGAGGCTATTAAAATGCTAAAGAATAAACTAGCTTAACGACCTGTTTTTAGAATATCCGCACTCCATTACTCCGCTCGCCTCACAATAGGCATGTAATGGTGTCCGTTACCAACCATAAAATTCTTGAAATCGAACATGATAATTGGGAGGATCTACATCCAACATTTAATACTTTGAGGTAAGAAATGGTGAGCGCACGAAGACGAAACCGACGCGACGTAACTTCGTCATGTAGGTGTGGTCACTCTATGAAACTTCTCGCCTTACGTACCAAATATGTCATCCTCCTCTCAACACGAACGTATTTTTCAAAAGACAATCGTGTTGACGTGAGTCAGTATAGACAGTGGTGTGACTTCCGCACGAGGTCTGGTAAATTTGGTAGCTACGCCATGGCAGGTTCGTAACTATGGACCAGTTTTAATAATCTATTGGCAAAGATAAATGCACTTATACCGACTAAGACCATAACCCTACAGGCATTTGCACAAAGTGGTAGGGGATATACTGAAATAACTGGGAAAAAGACATGGAAACTGGTACTGTTCTTTTCAAGAAGATCCTCGCTTGCATGAAAAAGGTATTACACTTTCAAACAAGAGATTCTTGTTGTCTATCTAATTAGTTGGATAGCAAGGGCCTCATGGTCTATATAGACCATAAACCACTGACAAATCATCCGAAAGTTAAGGCTGACAAATATTTGGCTCAAAAAGCTGACACATTTACCATGTGAAATTTTTTGAGCGGGATCTATTGAAGTCAGCAGCACCGGGTGAAGTATATCACAAACGAAAACTCCGTTCAGAACGCACTCATGCATCTACAAATGAACCATCAAGTAAATCCAGGGGCAGGTCATGAACACGTATGGCGTTCTAGTAGGCTTGCGAAGGAGACGAATGCAAGTGAAGAAAGTAGTTACAACCTCATGCAAGCATCACACCCACCGCAACCCAGGCGCAGGATTGGATTAGTGCAGTTTATTCTACTCTCTAATCGGTTTTTCAATAGACATACTTCTAACCACTACTGTGAAATTTGCTTCTTTTAACTAAATTTTGATATACTTGTTGTACTGGGTCCTCAAACGTGACTCGTAATTCTTTCTGACCTCGTAGGAACAGTTTGAAACATTTGTAACCTGTCTACACGGAAGAATAACAATCCTAAAATGTCAGTTCGTTTTCATATATTTCCTACCGGTCTAGTATTCTTTCATGTATTTCACAGTACTTATATTGGTTTCGCTTTGGGACTTATTAAGTTAGAATCTGAACATTTCTGTAGCATCCTATCTACTACCCATGATAAGTAACTCGCTACCCTTTTTCTTTCTCATTATATTTATCTGTTTGGGAACTCGTATAACAGCTTTATTGTCATACACAATAAATTATAGATTTATTACACATTGCATATAAACTTTAACTATCCGATATACTTGTAGCATAGCATCTGTAGGAATAGTGTTTTCTAGTAGGATGTAAAATATAAAACTTAAAATGCCACACAGTAAATATCAGGCCACTGATTTGAAGAAGCCTAACATCAGGGTGGAAGGGTGACGTTACTGACCAGCAAAGGTTGATGGCGAGGGAGATAATTTCAACCTACCCATACTTGGAAGGCAAGACATTTTGTTTGTTTCAGGCTCTTTGTGATTGACTACGAGACTATCAGTCGATTGACTGCGGTCAATGTGGTTTGCTCCACAACAGCAGGTGAACTGGTAGATGCATATGGAGGCAACCAGATGTGGAAGCATATCTTTTATGGATACAGGAAATAAGTTCCTACTAGTGAAGGGTATTCGCAGTTTTGCCGAGTTAAATGTTTTGTAATCGCTGTCGTTAAGCGATTTTTGACTACATCGGATGTTTGATCGCCTTTAAATTTCAAACTTATATAGAGGTTATTCTTTGGGACGGAACAACCAGATTTCTCGTCACAACCACTCCTTCTCATATTCTAATCTGTGAAGCGGTTTAGATTACCGTTTTTCTTCAAAGTTTTCCCGAGGAATGTGAGTTCTTCGTCAGTCCATTCTGTACTACATATCCGATTATTCGATGACATAAAAACTGAGATTTCTCTTTTTGCTTAAAGGAACCTACTTATATATGCTGGTTCGCTGGCCATTCCATATTTGTTTCCTAAAGTTGGATTTTTTTAAGGGGCCATCACTCCTTCTCATCAGACGCACATCGAGTAAAGAAATTGATTGGTTTCGCTCACTTTAT